TTTTTTGTTTGTATTTTAAATAAGAAAAAGTATAAAAAGTTTGTGTGTTGTTTGTGGGTGGTGGGGGGGTGGGGGATTGTTAGTGGGGGGGGGGGGGGGGGGGGGGGGGGGGGGGAGACAACGCGCTCGAGAGACGAGATTACAGCGGGCCAAAAATGTGCGTGTCTGCCGCTCTCTCTCTCTCTTGCGCTCTCTCTCTCTCTTGCGCTCTCTCAAAGCTCAATCTGTGGCTGCCTGCTTGTTGTTAATTGAAACTTGACCATGTTGACCAATTTGGCGGCTGCTGTTTGGCTTGTCTTGCGTATATGGTAAATTTGCCATAACCATAATGCCTGCCTGATTTCATTACAATTTGATTTAGGCACTGGCTGCGCCTCTAATTGGGCGCCATACTGTGAGAACTTCGGCTGCAAAGCTCTGTGAAACACTACAAGAGATTGTGGCAGATTTCCCCTACCAATCCAAACCCTTTGACAGTTCCTCTGGCTGCATGAAACTCACCTGCTTGAGCGTTAACCTCGCCGTATAGCGCAGATCGCTGCCCTCGCGCTTGAACATGGCATGGGGTTTATCCCTAATAATGAACACAATATCGGCGGGTATTTTGCCGGGCGCCTGGTCACCCTCCTTCTGGAAGGTGACCTTCGTGCCGGACTTCCAGCCGGGCTTGATGGATATCTGCAGAACTTTGTCCTCTTTGCGGGAACTGCCATCCGCCTGGACGACACGACGGGAGATTTTCATTTTCTTAACACAGCCATGATAGATCTCCTCCAGGGTCACATAGAGATCGTGCTCCACGGGCGGATCCTGTTTCTGTTCCTTCTTGAACGGTGTGTGCACATTGAAGGAGTGTGATCTGAAAGAGGGCCTACAAAAGGTTAACAAAACGAGGGCAAAAAGTGTACGGGTGGAGTGGAACCAACCTGAAGGCACTGCCAAGACCATGCCGTGACCCAATGCCACCGAAGGGCGATGAAAAGAAGTCCGGTTCCGTGTCCAGATCAAATACATTCTTGTCAAACAGATTATCGCCCATGTCGAAGAAGGAGGAAAAGGGATTGCTGTTGCCGAAGAACTGCGCGAAAGTGGCACGCGGATCGCCATGGAACTGATATGTAAATGTTTTGTTCGTATTGCCGCCATTACGAGTGCCTAAAGGAGGTTGAAAGAAGATCAATTGGGAGTACTTTCTGTGCGAGTTTCATTTGCTTTACGTACCACCGCTCTTTAGGCCATCCTCGCCATATTTATCGTACACCTCCCGCTTGCTCTTATCCGACAGCACCTCGTAGGCCTCGGCCACCTCTTTGAATTTCTCCTCAGCATTTGCGGCTTTATTTTTGTCCGGATGATAGCGCAGCGCCAATTTCCTGTAGGCCTTTTTGATCTCCTCATCGGTGGCAGTTTTGGGCAGCCCCAGCGTCTTGTAGTAATCTTTGCCCATTGCAGGTGCTTATGTGTGTATGTGGTAGGGTGTGTAGCAGCTGAGCGGGGATCGGTGCTATGTAGATTTATATTTATTTGTAAAGTAAAACTCGCAAGAGTCTAGAAAAATCTGTAAGAAATAAGAAAGTATTAGCCATAAAAGTTTATTTAATTATTTTTGAATACTCACAAATATATTTATCAGTTAGTTATGGTCCATATATGTATATAGTCCTCTTATTTGCTATGAAACTGCTCCAATGTTATCTTCCACTTGTAGCTCTTATAATGGCACATGCATTTTGTCGCGCTTTTCGCTTTTGCCTTTGCTTTATTATCACTTAAGATCTGCAAGAAAAATATGCAAGAAATCAGAAATCTTTAAAGATAATACCTGTATGTATTTATGTATATTTCTATATATATTTTCGCACACATAGACACTTCCATTTCGGCTCATAAGACACGTCACAGACCCCTGGCCATGCTCAATGCTGATGGTTGCGGGTGGCGGCCCACGCCTTTTGACTAATTTTAGATCGCCTCGCTAGAAATATTTCTTGTTCTTACCGGAACATTGGAAATATCTTCTCTCACACTCTATCTATCTATGCACATATATTGATCGCTCTTGTCTACCAGCAATTGATGGACACATTTAAATTAAATATTTTCCGGACTCTAAAACACTTCGAGTTCAATTAATGTTGAGCTCGAAGCCCTCGCGACAAACAAATGACAAAAGCAACAGCAAAAAGTCGCATAAATATTCGCATATACACATGTACCTAAACATGTCTCTACACATGTATGTATGTATGTATACACATTTCAACATATTTCTGTACATTTTTATTTCATTTTTTCTTCTTTTATTTGTTGCTGTCTGAAAATTGTTCTCTAGCCAATTTGCATTGACCTTAACATTTCGCTCAAAGTTCTTATAGTTCCTTCAGTCCAATTGGGCACAGAATTGACGATGACATTTATGAATGGGTTGGCCACAACAGTGCCAATGGGGCAACTCACAAGTTGATGCGAAAGATCTCTTGATTAGTTGACATTTCTATCAACGGCCAGCGCGACAGCCGCTGTAATATAAAACTTTTCCTGATACTAGAACACAGCTTGCGGTTTTCCTAGAGAACCAAGCGGTGGGATTACTTTTGAAGATTTCAGTGATTTTAGCCGCAACAAACAGAGGCCGCTTTTAGCTATCAAATGATAAGGAAAGGATTTATCAAGATGTATTTTTGCGGATGTAACCAAGTCTACAAAAATGTGCTCTCGAATAAAATGTATAATTATAAGGTTTAGCTGGAGCTTCAAACAATTTGTTTCTAATTTAAAAGCTTGTCAAAATGAATGAAAATATTTGCCAAAACATTTTTGCATTATGTTTTCAGTGAAGAAATATTTTGTTTTATTATTTTTCCACTCCTTTGTTACATTTTAAATATTTGAAAAGGTCTCACAAATATTTTGAGTCTATGCTAAAAGCCTTTTGCAATGAATGAAATTATTTGCAGACATATTTTTGCTCTAGATTAAAATTGAATTTATATTGTTTTGTTTAATTATTGTCAGTCTCTCTGTACACATGGGGATTGTGGGATACGATCATCGTTAAGTCCCCTAATTGCATTGAAGGTCTGCCCCGGGTTTGCTCAAGTTCAAGATGTCAGTGGTCCAGCCTTCAGCTTCAACTGATTTCATCTTGGTATATCATTTCATATATAAATAAAACATATAAAGACTTGCTGTTGTTGCTTTGACAATAAACGCTGCCAAATTGTCGCCGCACAACTAAATGTCTGCCTTGAATTGCAAATAGGAAAACGCGAAAGAGTGTTGCAAAGACAGAGAGCTCGGGGTGGGGACTGACGTGTTTCTATTGACAACCGACGATTGATGCGATCAGCGCCGCCATTCCAGACATTAGTCAGTGTGCAGTGTGCATTATAATTTGCATATGGGGATTGGGGATTGGGGATTGGGGACTGGGGATCGTGCCATCAATTCCTAAATCGGTTCAGCAAAATGTGCGCCAGATTGAGCGAAGCGACAAAAGATCCACAAGGTCACAAAGTGTATTTAAAAAATATTTATAGATATAGAAAGTCTATATAGAAGTATCTACATTTGCTGTCAGTTATATTATATATAAAATACGTTATGCAAGTGGTGATTATCTAGCGGGTTTTATTTGCTACACAATACAAAGGATACTCCAAATTGCAATTGAAAATGTTTTAATGCTTTTCCTTCACATTTTAAATAATTCCTTTTATGATTCGGCGGCACTCTCCCTCCGTGAATTATAGGCTTAAGTTGCAAAATAAATTCATGTTGCAATCGAAATTGTGCATAAAGTCGGATTTTTTATAGCCCACATTGACAGTTACAACATGTTGCAAGTGTGGTTGGTGGGGCATATTTCCGCATAAATAATTTAGCTCCCTGGTGTGCCGCTCATTTATTGATTACAGGAATAACATTTGCTTAACAATTTATTGGCCATGTGCAATATTGCATTATTAGTGTATTGTTTTTGCACTGTTTTTATTGTGTGTCCGCGTATCATTTTCGCATTTTGCACAATTTACATGCGAATTTCTTCTGCCATTTCATGTGAATGTTATAAATTGTCGTAGGTTATGAGGGGACATCACACAGGGGGAAAAATACTCGTATGTGTGTACACTGACAATGTTTTGTGTCGTTCCCGGATTGCCTCTAATTGAATTGAACTTGATTTATGACTGGGATCCGACTCTGCCGCTTTAATTCCAATTTTGCGGCTCGCTTTTGCACATATATTTCCACATATTTGATATAAAACTAAAAGAAATTCTCATATTTAATAATAGCAACAAAAGCATTAAATGTTGTGTGATTTATGCATTGCTTTGGCCTATCAAATTTAATATTTATGGCTTTTAAGATCAAAGTCAACTGCCTTGGGCTGGCACTGCTATATTTTGTTGATCAAAATCAGTTACTAATTCGACAGTTCAGTGTTCGCCTTTTGTTAATAAATGTGCTTCTAAAAGGGAGATGACAGAAGAGAGACCTTTGGATGTACCTGCAATATGCAGATGGAAGGATTTGTAAAGATCGCCCTAATATGCATTTCAATTTCCAATTAAATTCTGCGTGAATAATGCCCCACAATTTCAATCCAGAGTTTTCGATTTATGTACCAAGGTTAGGCCAACTGTTGATCCACCCAAACCATTCACTCTCGCTCTCGAAAAATATACAAACAAAATCATTTGTTGGTGTTTCTTTTTTGCTTTTGGCTGTTGGCTTTTGGCTTTTGCTTTTGCCTCAAAGTCAACAAGCAACTCATTCATTGTCAACCAACTTTGACGTTGTTGCTGTTTAAAATGAGCCACAGAAAAAGAGCGATCAGACACCATGAAGTTTATTCACCCACTCTTGACCAAATGATCCACAACAAAAAAGGCAGAGAACTAGCCAACTGCCATGAACGAAGTCAAATCGTTTGGGCAAATCCACATACCACACAATAAGCCCCAAAAACATAAGATGCCCAAACAAGGAAGGAGGTACAAGGAGGCATTCATGGGTCGCTGTGAATGATACCCTGGAAGGGAGTGAAGAAAATCCAACTGCGACAGGCAGGGAGAAGTAGGAATGGAATGTTTGAGCGTGAATATTTTAATGTTTGCTAACAAGTATGTTTAATCGGTAATAGCCCCCATGCAAAAGATAATCAAAATGCCTACCTCTGCATAATGAAATTCGTAATTTGTTTGGGGTTGCTGGAACTACTCAAAGAAGTGGTCTATAGGTCACAAATAGGTGGTCCTATGACTAAGTCTTTTTTACCTGTCGTCCCAGCTGTACAGCTGAACCCCCACGCACAATCCGCAGACGTATTTGATTTTGGAGAAATGTTTGAATAAAATGAATCATTCAACAAAAATGTGAGCACAATGAGCACTATTAAGTAATGAATTTTGAATTGGGGGGAGGCCTCTCCATGAGGCTCACCTCTCTGTTTATGCCGAAAGCTAATACTAATTCGAGTGGAGCATCAATTTCCAAAGAATAAAATCTGTGCAAAGTCATTCTATTTCCGTTTATTTTGGCAAACGGAAACACACACAAAAACACACACAACTAATTTGCATAGAATAACTATTAAGAAACACACAAAATATGTTCGCTGAAGATTTTTTGGAATTTGGAAATTTTTGTTCAGTGGCTCGCCGAAATTTGCATTTTGCCGTTGAAAATGAAACACTTGTTTTTTTTTTTTTTGTTCAGAATATTGATTAAAACGTTGTGGCAAATTAAATGGATAAACGCAAAATGGAAAGCTTTTTATACATTTGTTTGGAAAATATTTGTGGACAGAAAGTGTGTTTCAAAACAAGTGCAAACACTTTCAAATGGATGAAAACAGTTTTGGTTTTTGTTTTTTAAGGTACCCCAAGATGATTTTAGGGCGCTACTAACATTTATTTTAATGTGAAATGGAATACTTTTAATGGATTGAAAAATCCTTGAAAAATACGCAAAGTGTTTCTGTTTTTTAATGCATTTTTGTTATTGTTTTTAATGCGTTGAGAAGCGTACTTTAGTGTGGTCCGGACATGAAAAAAGTAATCATTCATTTATAAAATGTAAAACCGCTTTTTAGCACTTGACACAAGACCGCAGCACGGAAATACAACACAAAACATATATCAAAAATTTAATTAATCAATTACAAACAGAAAACCTCCTCGAAAGTGTATTCCCTGTGTTTTCGTTTTGTTTTTTCTCCCTCACCCCCGAATTACTTTGCTTAATTGCTCTGCTTCTTCTTCCTGTCTTCTGCCTCTGCCTCTGCCTCTGCTTCGCTTCTTCTTATTCCTGTTCTGTTGCTCTTCTTCTTGTGCCTTTCTCTCACTCACTCTTCTTCTTAATCACATCTCTTTCTCTCATGACGAATATAGCATGTGTCCGTCCGTCTGTCCATCCCACCCACTCAGCAGCTGTTCAAAGAGTTAGTTCCGCTCTCCAAAATATGGCGAGTGAGCGCCGCCAGTGAGTGGAGGTGGTTGGTCGCTCGGTCGTCTCTCTTTGCCTCTCGCATGTGTCATAATTTAAAAATACAAAAGCAAAAGAAAACAACAAATGCAGATTGGGCACGGGGGAGGCCGAAGCTCTTGATACCCTAGCAGAACCAACGTTAGAAGGGTTAGTTCTTTTAAACGTTTATCCGACGTTAACATTTTATGTTATGGAAAATAAGCATTTGGAACAAAAAGTTAGCTCTTGACTTTTGCTTGTACTTATACCAAGTCCGACGGGTCGTTTTGGGGATAGTTTCAATATTGATTGTATTGTGAAGTTCGCTAGAAGCTCTTCGATGCTGCCCTCTCACCATTCACAACATATACTATAGCCGATCATACCCCCTATAGCAGCGCATAAGACGCGACCAAGCGAGAGCAAGAGTCTGTTAACGGTACAAAACTGACAAATTCTCGACTGATTATGATTACCAGCAATCAATTCGCTTATTCGTATGCACACTCTTATTGAGGTCTTGGTGGAACTCTCTTTCGAGGTAATTTGCCATTTGCGAGATTTATCCCCCACTTGAATGTTGGCCACTTGACTGAGACTTTGGCATTTTTGGAGGCCAACAATTAGAGCCAAAAACGTTTTTTTTTTTTGCTTCATTCCCCAACTTTATGCTTCATGTGTGCGTTCAATCATAATCGGCTGCTTGGTGTGTTTACTTTTTTCTTAATCACGCAACGATTTTGCTGTGTTTAATTTCATTGTGGCCAACACAGTTTGAGTGTTTGAAAAATGAGGCAACAAAAATAGACAAAATGTCTGGCCATAAAAAGTCGACAAGACCACAAGAAACACCCAATGAGAGGGAAACAGCGCAGCTCCTAGCAGCAGCACATTTTGTTGTTGTTGGTTCAAGAGAATTGTTTAATTCATTTTGTTGCACAGGAATTGTTTATTTAATTGAGCAGAAATAGAAAAAGAGCTCTTCTCTTGGATCATGGAAAAATCCCAGAAAACTAAGAATGAAGAACTTACTGTTGCCGTTAATTTTCCCAAGCTGCAGGCTCTGCCAGCTTTGCTCCTTTGAAGCCAGTTTTGCAAGCTTACTGAAAGCTTGTATTCAACTGTAAGGAGTATGCATTTGCACCTTAAACTTTTGCCGAAAATTTATAGTTTTTGAACAGATTTCACACCGACATTATGAGTACACACACAGAGTGCTGTGCTGTGCTCTGTGCCCGGATTCTCGGGGCTGTGTATATTCCAAAGAATCGGCATGAACATTTCGAAAAATAATCAAGCAAACAGCGAGCCACAGCAGCGAAATTGGTGTGTGAAAATGAAAAAAAAAACATATACACAAAAATAACTAAAAATGCTAAAAATAAAACTTATTTAAAGAAATGAAACCATGAAAAATCAAAAACACTGGCAAAAGCCAAAACGATTTGAAAATACAGAAAAAAATATAAATAATAAAATCAAAGGAAGGAAAGGAAAAGAATAAAAGCGATGTGTGATGTGGGGACCAACCGTGAAGAGTTCGCTTTTGGACTTTGCCTAATTTGCAGATGCTATCGGCGCGGCAGTCTTTATGTAAGGGCTTGGGGCGAGCACGAAAAACTGTCGTGTGAGATGTTCCAGCAGCAAGGCAACACGATCCAATCGATCCTGCAGGTGACAATCGAATCTCACAGTATTTTTCAAAACCATAAAAAGCACTTGGTACGCACACGTATTGGTGTACGCTCGTACTGTGCGTGTGTGCGTATATTTTATTTTTTGTTATTTCGCTTTGACCACATTTGGCAACAGAACAGAACGAATCCGAGACAAGAGTGAGCCGTGTTAAGCTTCAGCACACACAAACACAGAGACACACACACACACACACACACACACAATTCTCATGCTCAATCCAGCACACACTCAGACAGTCTATACACTCTGGCAAACACTCTCCATACACATCTCACTCACGCACTTGCACAAGTCCGTGATTAATTGACATTGCAAAGCAATAAATTGTATTGTGGAAAAAGTTCAATCGGGATTTCTTACAATTGATTGTGGATTTTTTGTGTGGGTGTACGCTCTATTTGGATTTCCGATCTTCTGATTTCGGTTTCAATTTATTATTAGCGCGATTTTTTCGCTGCCAATGTGCCGTAAGATGCGTGCAGCAAGACCGTTAGACCCGACGACGACGGAGCAGAATTCGCGAATGGGGCAACTGGGTACCCACTGGGCCCCACACAGCAACTGTTTCTCTCTCACTGTCAGCTCTCAGCGATCTGAAAAAGCGCCATGCAAGAGATCCCTCAAGCACAGAGTCAAAAAAGTGAGAGGCAATTTTATTTTATTGTGTTTTTTTTTTTCGTTTCTTTCTGACTCTTCTGCAGCAGCAGCTGTTATACGTGTGTTCTTCACATGTACTTTCTGTGCGAGTACAACAAAGTCGTAGACGGGGCGGGGATAAAAAAAAGCGAAACTGAAGTACAAAATCAAAAACGGCAATGAATTTGACGTTTCGCCGCGAGACGATCGCAATCGAATTGCTGTTTATGCGTCATACAGCTGGTCCCCAGAGCTTTTTCCCATAGAGAAAAGCTTTTTACTTGGAAAAGTTTGGCAAGCAGAAACAGAAACCGGTATTTCTGATACCCTTGTATGTGAGAGCTAGGCGTTTGGAGAATGGGTTTGTTTTAATTTTTGATAGTCATATTATTGTTGATTTGCTTAATTTCTCAGCTTAGTTGTGATGATTTCTTATGGTATAATAATGCATTTGGTTAGGTGTAAACCAGTGGTGCCGACCACTTCAACATTCACATGCCAAAGTATTCGGTTTTTGGGTAAGAAATATTTGTCAGATATGTACAAATGCCTTTTAAGAATGTATGAAAATTCTACAGACTGGCTAAAGGGTATCAGAAACTTCGCGTAAACAAACGTTTCATGTTTTCCCTCTGTGGTGTGTTAACTGCTAGCTGCCTACGACACTTCTATTGCTTGCTCATGCTTCTCCTGCTTTATCGTTTCCTTCTCCTGCTTCTCCTCAGCTGGTGGCAGTTCAATGTTCACTGCTTTCAGAGCCTCCTGTATCCATGTGGGAATCGGATCCTTGCCAAAATGTCTGGCCATAAAGTCAATCACAAATTTCGGGAACTCATCACGTTGAATGGCTTCCCGCATGGACCGCATCAGACGCAGCTGGTAGGCCACATTGTGGATGCTGAGCAGGGAGCAAGAAACGCTCTCATTGGTGGCAATGTGATGGAGGTACGAACGGGTATAACGCTTGCACGTGCTGCACTCGCACTGCTTGTCAATGGGCTCCAGGTCCAGCTTGTATTTCGGCTGCTTAAGATTCAGCTGTCCGCTGTCGACCAATGCACAGCCGAAACGTGCCGTACGCGTGGGAAAGACACAATCGAACATATCAATGCCTAGGGCCACGCAGACCACAAGATCGGCGGCAAAGCCCACGCCCATGAGGTATCGCGGTTTGTCACGCGGCAGATGATCCGTGCAGACATCAACCATGCGCCAGAAATCGTGTTTGCTCTCGCCGCCACTCAGTCCACCGACGGCAAATCCGCGCACTTGTCGCTCCATCAACGCGGAGACGCAACGCTGCCGCAGTGGCACATCGAGACCGCCCTGGACAATGGGAAACAGCGACTGATCATCATCCCGGGCATGGGCCTCGATGCAGCGATCCACCCAGCGAATTGTCCGCTCCATGGCCTCCTCCACACGTGGTCCGGTTGTGGTCGTCTTTACCACATCATCCAGCTGCATCATTATGTCTGCCCCAATGGCATTTTGGATCTGTATCGAGTGCTCGGGCGTCAACATGCACTCACTGTTGTCGAAGGGTGAGCGAAAGTTCACGCCCTTCTCGTTAATCTCGGCCAGCTGCAGCAGCGAGACCATCTGGAAGCCACCAGAGTCTGTCAATATGGCCCGTGGCCAGCCCATAAACTTGTGCAAGCCGCCAGCTAGCCGCAAAGTCTCAATTCCCGGTCGTAGCCCCAGGTGATACGTGTTGCCCAGCAGGATTTGGCAGTTCAACTCAATCAGCTGATCCGGCAGTATTCCCTTCAATGTTCCCTGTGTGCCCACCGGCATGAACACTGGCGTATTTACTTCACTGTGCCTGTGAAACGAAAAACCATTCAAGATGTTCATTTTCATTCATCAGTAACAACGAATCAATTTTGAGTACACTCACCTCAGTGTCATAAGGCCAGCCCGTGCCTTTGAGACGGAGCACTCGGCCACGACCTTGTAGGTGAGTGGAGGAATATTTCTGGGACTCATTTAGTTATCAAATGACAAAAACAATCAAATTAAATACAAAATTTGTTTGGCGGTGCACGTTTTAGTATGCCGCACCAGTGTGACCGTGGAAGTATACCGAAATATACCCTTGCATTTTCAAAATATACTGTAATTATACCGTGAATCTTAAATTATTTTCCTCGATTTTAATGTTCTATTTGATATTACCAGCTAGTTAGAAGCCTCCGCGCCAAAACTATAATTTTATCCGGTTTGTCAATCACAATCACGACTTCCTTTTCTTTGAATGTTTTCAAATTAAGTATAAAATTTAAAGGTCAACGAAATTCAACGTCATTTGACAATTTGTTGCTTGTCAACAAGTAGGTATAGTATAGTATGGGTATTTTTATACCCTATTTTTTCCATATCTTAATATTAAAATGTAATTTTCAAAGCTGCTCTCAAACACTAATAATGACTTTAGCTTAGACTGACATGGTTTTAACCTTTTCATATGCCTTCTATGTATATACATATGTATATCGATCTTTTTGCACTGTTATACTGACGCTCTGGAACTCTTATACAGAAACATTGAAATATAAAAGTCGAATAAAATGCTTTATTTAAGATATTTTGTACAAATCTAATGTACAATTGCTAACTTAAACAATTCTAAATGAGCACAAATGGGTGAGGGGATGTATAATTTAGGTAACTAACCATGGCCCAAATACTTTAAAATTCAAGCGGAATAAAATTGCATCTAATAAAACAAAATTTCTTCAAGCGTTCTCATAGCGCTGCTTCATCATCTTCTTAATATAAGTTTTGTAATCGTTTCCAGGCAGCATATTGCCAGCCCTGTTTCCCAGGCCCACATTGTTGGTGCGACCCTCAGCCTGTGGATGCCAGAAATTGCATTAATTATTTAATTTAATATTTCAGTTTTAGTTATCTTTAGTTACCTCAATGATCTGTGTGCGTCCCTGATTCTTCCGGCCCAGACCCTGACCCTCCGTCCAGCCCATCTTCTGCATCAAGCGATTGCCAACATTGTTCGAGCTGATGGGCAGGGCTGCAGCCGCGCTGCCGTTGTTCTTCTGACGTGTCTGCAGTGTCTTTATCTCCTGCTCGAAGCGCTCCCGACTGCGATTCGGCGGCGGTGGATCGCTCTCCCCGTACTTCAGTCTCCTCTCCTTGGCGCGGTCACGATAGCTAAGGATAATCGCAAGAATTAACAAAATATCTGGTCACATATACTGGCCTTTAACTTACGATAATCCCGCATCGCTGTCTGGATCAGGATCGGCTTCAGCAGCCACAGCTCCTGAACTCTGATTGAGCTTCGCCAGATTCTCTTTGTGCAAATTTGACATTTTCAAATGCTTTTGCAGGATTTCGAGGGATTGGAAGGCACGTTTACATAACAAACACGTCAGCTTCTGGAAGTCCACAAAGTCCATTTCATCAGAAGCGGCACTGGATCCGGATCCACCGACAGCCACCGCCGGTGCCCGTGCGGGTCCCGCCGCATTGTCCTCATNGCTCCCTGTCGCGTTCCCTGTTCGGTTGGTTGCTGTTGCTGTTGTTTCCATTATTATGATGCCGATAGTCAGCGTTCCGACTGGAAAGAGGAATTGAAGGGTTAAGCAACCGAAAGAATGCGTTCAACACAATCCAGGTCTCACTTGTTGCGCTCATTCCCGCGATCGTAGTCGGAGTTCCCTCGTTCCCGCGACTGCCGCTCATAGTTCTTCCACCGGTGGTCGCGATTGTTGTCGTAGTTGTCCTCGCGACGGTCATAGTTGTCCTCGTTGCGATTGCGCGAGTTGTAGCTCCGCTCCCCCTGGTAGTCGATCAGGTCGTCGATCAGGTCGCGATAGAGATCCTTGTCTTGGCTGCCACTGCCACTGCCACTGCCCCCGGCATGCCTATTGTAATGGGAGGAACGCTCGCGGCTGCGCGAACGCGAATTGTGACGTCTGTAGCCACCGTGCTCTCGGCTCCTGTCACTGCAAGCACATACATTTTTTTTGTATAATGTAAATATGTTCCTGTGAAAGGCATACATAAATAGAGCTATGCATGTCGAGAGGGTTTCTTACCGTGAACGTGACCGGGATCGACTGTAGCGTCTGTATTGACTCTCGCGGTGGTCAACGCCTCCGCCGCCGTTTCCATTGCCACCGCCTCCTCTTGAGAAGCCTCGCCCGTAACGGGAATCCATATTATGCTAATCTAATACGAATCGGTAATTATGTTTGATTTTTCTCTCTCCTCATTCACACACGCCTGTCGTCGAGGCCCTTTGCCTTCTGCTGAACTCTGAAGGTAAACTTTAGCTAGTTACTTTTGTACATTTCTTACGTATTGCACTTTTCTAGGAGAACCAAGAGTATATCTAAATTATTCTCGATTCCGGTAGTCCGTTTATTGAGCGTGAAATAAAATTGTACAACAAAAATAGGCTGTCGAAAAAATCTATGCCTCCTTGCCATTCACACAAAACCGACTTCATTTATCGATTATCGACCAGACAAGTTCGCATGTGTTGCAAAGCGAAGCAGAGACATTGCAAGTCTCCACCTATTAAACAGCTGCTCGACGAATTAGTCTCCACACACAACGGTTGGAATTTTTGAAAGATGTGAACACCGGCTTAAGGAGAATTTACTTATTTGTTTATCTTAGAAACTGCGTTTCCTCTGTTTGGTTGTTGATAAGCGCCTCTAAGATATTCTCCTGCCACTTGTAGTGCTCCTTTTGCTTTTCTAGGCGCTCTTTCTCCATGTAAATGTGAGAGTTCTTTCGGGCTCCACGCAAATATTCAATATTATCCTATCTCAGATTGCAGTTATGGTTTACAATTTCGCATGTATTTTACAATTGTATTTGAATAATTTATGTTATCATACCACAGAAAGCATATTATAATAATTAAAATCTTAATAAATACATTTTCGGGCATTTTTCTGGCATCTTCAGGCATTCTCATAGCGCTGCTTCATCATCTTCTTGATGTATGACTTGTAGTCTGTGCCAGGTGGCAGGTTGCACACCTTGTTTCCCAGGCCTATACTCTTGGTGCGACCCTCAGCCTGTGGATATAAAATGTACATTAAAACATTACCGACGAAAGGCTGTATATGACTTGTGTTTACCTCTATGATCTGTGTGCGTCCCTGATTCTTCCGGCCCAGACCCTGACCCTCCGTCCAGCCCATCTTCTGCATCAAGCGATTGCCAACATTGTTCGAGCTGATGGGCAGGGCTGCAGCCGCGCTGCCGTTGTTCTTCTGACGTGTCTGCAGTGTCTTTATCTCCTGCTCGAAGCGCTCCCGACTGCGATTCGGCGGCGGTGGATCGCTCTCCCCGTACTTCAGTCTCCTCTCCTTGGCGCGGTCACGATAGCTAAGGATAATCGCAAGAATTAACAAAATATCTGGTCACATATACTGGCCTTTAACTTACGATAATCCCGCATCGCTGTCTGGATCATTATCGGCTTCAGCAGCCACAGCTCCTGAACTCTGATTGAGCTTCGCCAGATTCTCTTTGTGCAAATTTGACATTTTCAAATGCTTTTGCAGGATTTCGAGGGATTGGAAGGCACGTTTACATAACAAACACGTCAGCTTCTGGAAGTCCACAAAGTCCATTTCATCAGAAGCGGCACTGGATCCGGATCCACCGACAGCCACCGCCGGTGCCCGTGCGGGTCCCGCCGCATTGTCCTCATCCGATTCGGAGCCACCGCCATAAGCCTTGAACAGCTTATTCCCGCTGAGTGGAGCCGAGGGCGGCATAAAGTCGGTCAGCTTTGCGCGCTCCTTCTTCTCTAGGATGGAGAATCCAACATCTGCATACGAGCCTTGAGTGGAACGCGAAGTGCTGGGCCCCGACATCTCGCTGCCCGTCAGGATGGGATGGGGTGTGGCCACCACGGTGTAGTCCTTCTTCTGGTTGAGCTGCTTGGCCCATTTCTCCATGTCTTTGACGATCTTCTTGGCCACCTTCACCTTGTCATGCTTGTTGTTTCCGTCCTTCTCCTTGTCTTTGTCCTTTTCCTTCTCCTTCCTGGAATCGTCATCCTTCTGCTCGGCCTCCGCCAGACCCTCTTTCAGTGCTGCCTGGGTGGAGGCCGGAGTGGCCAGAATGTAGGTGCTACGTCGCTGATCCCAGTACAGATACGCTCCCGTTTCGTTGTTGTAGTAGTACTGGGAGTGGGCGTCGTAATAGAGACCCGTGCTCGGGTCGAAGTAGTACCCAGAGGTCTCATCGTACTGGTACCGGGATACGTCGGGAGCAGCTGCAGTGGTGAAGAGTGTTAACTGAAGCCTCTAGATGTATTCCTTTTACTTACGATAAGTCTTGCCATCGTTTCCTCTTGGGGCAATCACATTCTGAGCAGCGAAGGCGGCTTTAATCTCGGCAGCTGCCTGGGCAGCAGCTATGGCAGCCGCCGTGGCCGTTGTCTCAATTTGATTCATCTTTTTCTGCTTCCGTTGGATGGCCGAGAGAGCCACCGCAGCACCGGAATTGGCTTCTGTTAGCTGCAGGTCTGCTGCGCTGCTCTTTGCTATCTCTGCCGTGTAGTAGTCCGTGTAATACTGGACATAGTGCGCCTGCTCCGCCGGATTGGAGGCATACAGCGAGGCACTGTACTCGGCGAGACGGGGAACGTCGGCCAGAGTGTAGCTTCCACCAGCTCCCGAGGGTGCCACAGCTGCAATTGAGCCGTTCGGAATGCCTCCAGAGGCCGAACTCGTGGCAATGGCAGTTGGCGATTCCTTTGTTAACTTTGGTCGATCATCAACATCGACGCAGTAGCTAATGGCAACTGAAAATGAAGGGATTAGAAAAGAATAAGGAGTACTTAAGAGTCAGCTTACCTTCACGATCGTCTAGGGTCAGCGGCGGATCCAGCGCTGTCAGGGCATTGTGCAACTCCATGGAGTCAACGAGTGTGTCAAATTGTAGGTAGCAAATGCCTCGCGATGCCTGCGTCAGGGTATCACGACTGATCAGCACTTTGCTGATGGATTTGGCCAGCTTGGGCAGCAGCTGCTGGAGGGCAGTCAGCACGCCCTCCTCGTTGGTCAGGGCATCCAGATTGCGTAACATAATCTCTGCATGGGGTAAGCATGGCAGGCAGGTTAATGAGTGTGTATCTCTATCTGAACAAAATGGCATGGCATGAGATTGTTTTTGTTTGGTATACTTTTTGTGAGGATTCGGGTGACTTCATCGATTCCTTCTCCACCCCCACAGAGGGCGTTCTCGCTCTCCTCGCGAGATGCGCTGCACATGAAGCACTGGAAGCGGCGCTTAAAGTTGCTGGCACCGCACTAAAGTTGCAATAAACGAAAGGATTTATCAATGTTTTATGATGATTTTGATTGGACTAAAGTGTAAACATATACCAAGATGCTGAATGAAGCACACATATCCTACTCTAAAGTATTCATTGAGCTTCCTAATGCCTTCTGATACGAAATTTCATATATTCACTGAGTAAAGATCCACCACATGAAGGGACTGCACGCTTACGGGCATTGAGCGAGGCTTCAGTCATCGCTCGTTTACGAACACTAGATAGTACCGCATTTACTATTGGCTTGTGGTCTGCTGTGTGTGCACATTTGTATGTGTGTGTTTGCAACGCGATTTGTTTGCATTTGTCGCTCAATGAACATATTCAACGCAACACAGAACCACAAACGTTGAACGAAAGCTCAAATGGGATTTGTTCTTAATGCAACATCTTAGTAATTAGCAGCATTTCTGGTTACCTTTATGCAAGTCCAGTCAGACATCCGTGTGTGGCTATACTGCATGGACACCCGGTGGTCGCCCAACTGGAGCGTGCCCTGAAGCAGAGAAGGAAGAGAACAGAAATGACTGCGTGTTAGGGACTGGAATGATTGGATCACAAGATTCACAGGCTACACAGTCACCAGGTTGCTTTTGTTCTGTGTTTGCTGTTTGCTACGCGCAGAGGTCGCACCGGTTGTAGTCGCTGGCAGTTTGCTTTTGCTCCATTTGATAACCGCTATTTGAGAGTGAAATGATTACTTTAAGTTCAGTTCTCGCTTAAAACCATCCAAATTTGGACTAGAGAAGCAAGCGAAACAACATTCAGAACAGATGAAATTATGAAATGCTTAATGCTTTATGCTTTAGGCTCAATGCCCAACTGAAAAGGGCGACAAAGGGAGAACCGAACTTAAAGCCAAACTTGGTTACAGATGATGCCTCGGGGTTTTCATTTGTGCCGAGATTTCGTGGCTCATGGTTGAATCAATGTGACTATTCCCTGTCTTGTTGGTTTGTTTGGGATACCTTAGTTATTTCCATCCATTGTCTCGATTCCTCGACGGTTTTAAACTCGACAAATGCGAAACAGCGTGAGGCACCTAAATTTTAGATAGAAGCAGATACGAAAATGTTTTTGTCAAAATATGTTGTTGGTTGTTTCAATAGTTTTGTAACATTTGTTGGAGATTGGGATTGCTTTTGGTTTTCGAGTATTGTGGAATTTTGTAGATGTTTGTCGTAAGCCGTAAGCCAACTGTTAAATGAATTGTATTTCCTCTCGATCACTGCCGATTGCTGGCCACTCAATACTCACGCTCTTCGTGTTCTTTTAGACTAGCCTAATCATATGTATAGCAAATAAAGTAAGCTCGTTGGATGTGTAACCCACCTGTAGGCTGCTTCCTCATCACTCTTATCGAAGTCGGCTCCATATCCACTTTGATCAGCTCTCCCATGATCTGCAAGGATTACATTACAAATCGTTACAAATCGCCCTCCTTTCTGGCTTACGTCTGCCTCCGTAACATGCTTCTGGAGACCGAAGAGAATGATGTTGTTTTGGGCCTCGTTGCAGGGTCTGTGATGCTTGCGACGATACTGGCTCTCATCGCTCTCATCATCGGAGGAGAAGCGTCTCTCGCGGTCTCTGTCCCTCTCCCGCTCCCTGTCGCGTTCCCTGTTCGGTTGGTTGCTGTTGCTGTTGTAAGGTAATAATACTACGGCTATCAGTCGCAAGGCTGACCTTTCTCCTTAACTTCCCAATTCGTTGGCTTTCTTACGCAAGTTGTGTTAGGTCCAGAGTGAACAACGCGAGTAAGGGCGCTAGCATCAGCCTCAAGGGAGCAAGGGCGCTGACGGCGAGTATCAAGAAGGTGGCCACCAGCGCTAACAACAGCATCAACAGCTCGCGACGGTCATAGTTGTCCTCGTTGCGATTGCGCGAGTTGTAGCTCCGCTCCCCCTGGTAGTCGTCGTCGATCAGGTCGCGATAGAGATCCTTGTCTTGGCTGCCACTGCCACTGCCACTGCCCCCGGCATGCCTATTGTAATGGGAGGAACGCTCGCGGCTGCGCGAACGCGAATTGTGACGTTTGTAGTCTCGGTTCCTGTCACTGCAAGCATAATATGTACCAGTACAATGCATACATACATATGTACATACGTACAAAGGTATGTACCAAAAGGTTTTTCTTACCGTGAACGTGAGCGGGATCGACTGTAGCGTCTGTATTGACTCTCACGGTGGTCAACGCCTCCACCGACATTGTCATTGCCACTGCCTCCTCCTGAGAAGCCTCTCCCGTAACGGGAATCCATATTATGCTAATCTAATACGAATCGGTAATTATGTTTAATTTTTCTCTCTCCTTACATGCGCCAGTGGCCCTTTTGCAGAGCTCTAAAGGTAAACTTTAGCTAGTTACGTATTCCAATTTGTACATTTCTTACGTATTTCACTTTTCTGGGAGACCAAGAGTATATTTAAAGTATTCTCGCTTCCCGTAGTCCGTTTATTGAGCGTGAAATGAAATTTGTACAACAAAAAAAGGCTGTCGAAAAAAACTCTGCCTACTTTGCCATTCACAAAACCGACTGCAAGCTATCGATACTTGGACTGAGCGGAATGTGTTGGAAAGCGGAACACTGATAAACATCACTTACAGCTGTTTGTGGAATTTAGGGGAAAATCCCGATTATTTTAAAATTTACTGAGCTATTTTATAACTCAAGCATTTATTTTACAATTGTATTTGCATTATTTTTCAAGAGTCAGCGGGTAAGTCTAGCGCTTTCACTGCCACCAAATTGTTAAAAGATGTGACCATTCCACATGGCCATGACATATTTTTGCTCGAGGTGAAATAGTGGCCTTGCACCCATATCGGCAGTCTTTAGGTTAATAAACTCTAATCAGATCAGAGGATCGTAGATTAGATTTGGTGTTTGTTCAGGGACACCCACTCCTACTTATTTGCCATTCACACAATGGCGATAGTTGATGATTGATGTATCTAGAGACGAACCTACTACAATAATATAAAACATAACAACAAAACTTTAACAATCAAAAGGGCTCAGAAGTGAATTTAAAGAAAAATTACTATCTAATAAGCTGTATTCTTAGTTATACAAATATGATTAATCTAACACGAAATCACTGTAAGTGATCTTTTACAGTTGTGGCGAATTAGTCGAAGTATCGCACACCTCTAAGTGCTTTAAAACTTCAGAGGCCTTGCGCTTGGCAACACTGAAAGTCACTCACCACGCAGCGTGTCTTGGGGAATAACCATTTTATAATATTACCCTTCGATCTAAACACGGACTTCACCCGAAAATCAAGAGAAACATAATCAGCTCGGCAGCCGTCACTCTGCTTTTTGTGAAAGAGCCGTATAAAGTGTTAAACAATGAAGAAAGTGCTATTACCGAAAACACAGCGCATACAGCGAGTGCCGTCCGACACAGACCTGGTATTGAAGCAGACGGCGCCAGTTCGAGTTGTTGCAAGAGCCGTACCATTGAACAGCAACGCGTACATACAACGAAAATCCTTTCAGTCCATATACGAGGATATATTCAGATTGCTCTTGCGTATACCCGATAAAGGTATGCAACAACGTGTCATGGATGCCATTAATGGACACGGCAGCGATAAAACATCTACGACATTTACCTCGCAGCTAAAAAGACAATGCTACTGTGGGGCATCCAAAGCAAACGCTTCCACACAAACAGATGAAGAGCCAAGGCCCAGCATATCTTATCGACATCATACGACACCAAATTCACCACAAAACATGTTGCTAGAAAATGATTCACCCGATTCTGGTGCACCCAGTGGCACCAGCCCCAGTCCAGCTCGATCCGCGCCTCTAATTGTCGGGAAAAAGCGTGGCCGCAAGCGCAACAACTGTGTGCCAAAGGTTGTCAAAGTGTCCGCAGCTGAACAGGCGCAACAGGAACGGGAGGATAAACAACTGACACCCGTGATAATCAAGAAGAAAAAATTGGATCTTCCTGTAAGTTAACAGAGTGGCCTCAAGCTGAGTTTGAATATTTAATTTATAACATTTATTGTTTCGCAGGAACCGGCGATCAAAGAAATACAACGACCGATATCCGAGCGTCGCAGCTCGAATATTTCGGTTACATCCATCAGTGTGTGCCAAGGTCTCGAAGAAATGGACAGCTATATCGAAAACGGTCCGGATAAGGAGCAACTAAAGGCTCTCGCTCTACGAATAATGACCAACGAATTCAAGACGGCTCGTTTTTTGTCGCCTGAAGGCCTGCTGTGAGTAATTCAACATGCCAAATGCACCAACAGATGTTTAATTATCGTTCCCGTTTAGGCCCATCCATGATGCAATTTTAAGGGGCGACATTAATGCCGTAAGACGTCAGATTTTTACTTGCACCCATAACCATTGGAATATCAATGAAATGCTCAGCTCGGAAGGTGAAGATTGCCTTGAACTTGCCCTAATGAACGATGCTGATCCGGAACTGGTCACAGACCTGCTGAAAGCGGGCTGCTTGCCCAATCACATCTACGAAAATTCCAATACGGCTCTGCATATAGCTGTCATCAACAACATTGATCTAGAATCGATAAGGCAACTAATGCTACATATTGATCTGGAACTCCTGCTGAAAACCAACGATGATGGGTACACGGCCTTGCACTTGACAGTACGCCACAATCAGTACAACGTTGCAGAGACCATTTTGGACTGCATCGATAAGCGGCAATTGGATGATGAGCCAGTCTATGAAAGAGCAACAGAGGTGCCAGATCCAAAGCTGACGCCCGAGAAGGCATTTGCCAAATACTATGAGCGTGCCTGCGATAGACTAGAACTAACCAAACACAGGCTCAAGGATCGTCGCTTAAAGATGGATATCCTAAATGCCGTAGAGTCGAGAGCTGGCAACACTCCGCTTTTTTTTGCCGTAGAACAGGAGCAAGGTGAGCTAATGGCTACAGGGAATGATATCATGGCATTGCATCATCATTATGTTTTGTATATATATTTCAGAGCACTTTTGTTATTTCCTGCTGGCTCACTTGTGCGATCCGGATCAAGAAAACCTGAGCGGGCATTCCCCAAAATCATTTCACTACGAATATGCTCGCATTTTGCGCATTAATTTGAAAATATCCCGCATAATGGATAAGGTTATTGGCATATTAAATGGATGACGATAATTGTGCACACATTTACTTTTCCTAGACTAATTTGTGAACATTGTTTTTAAATAGTAAACAACATTTAGCCCCAGTTGAGTTCAAAATTGCTTGTCTTCAACTTTGCCAATTCCATTGGACGGAGCGATGGTGGTAAACCAGCGTGATGGTGAGTTTTCCAGGGCCATTTCTTGGGTTTTCTCCTTCTAGATTTGGATTTCTTCTGAGCAGCAACTGCAGAATACAAATTGAGTGAATGTTGAGTTTTTTCATCATAATTCGTACGTACCTAGCTTCTCCAGCTTCTTTAATTCCTGTTCACTATAATGCCCATAATTGCAATATAGATCAAACTTGCAGTAGCCTTTAAAATAGCGCTGACATGGCTTCTTTAGACGCTCCTCTGACAAAATCTTTGCGGGATCTATAACAGCGACAAAATGTTAGTTTAGTTCGGAAAGATTCGGGGCTGCCTGCCCACCATCAAAGCGACGCATGTACCGGTACTTGGCCACCGTGTGAGAGATGCCGTTGTTGTGCAGCTTGCGCACATTTACATCACTCTTCATATAACAGCCGCAGTAATCACAAAAATAACTTTGACCCATTTTTGCAACGCTAAGGTAAACAATTACTTTTTGTCCTAGAGATGGTCGCGTTGAAAATGCATGTGTCGATAGTGCAGATCGCCATCGTGATGACAGCCAATGGACTATCAGATGCACACAGCTGGCAAATTTTGTTTTGCATATTTGCAAAATTAATTATATTTATCAACTTTTCAGGTACTATTGTATTTATGTACAATTGCCTTTTGAACATAGCTATCATTTACACGACTGTCACAACTTTCCCAGACAGTCCAAATACATCAAATCATCTGCTCCGATATCTGCACATATTTTTGCAACACTGCACCGCCGCGAATGGCAATTCATGCAAAGGAGTCGCTGACACCACCACTAAGTAAAATACGAGAATTTGGCAAAAAGCCGGCGGAAAAGAGAAATTTCAGAGTTTTAACCCATATAGAAGAGGAATGGAGCCCACGCTGGACACGTATAAGCTTAGCTGTGAGCTGTTTGGGCATAGCTTGGATGTGCGCGCCGTTGCAGTTGGTGCGAGCACGCCCGAGGGCGGTCAAATTATTTTGTCTGGCTCTCGGGACAAGAGTACAAAGCTGTGGAAGCCAATTGGGTGCGTTCTGTGAGCTAAAACACGTGTTTGTCCATCCTCAAGCTTCCTTTGACATTCCAGCAACGAGTATATTGAGAGCCTAACCCTGCAAGACCACAAAAACTTCATCTCCTACATATATTTCCATACCGCCGAGCAGTGGATTTGCACGGCCAGCAATGACGCGACAATTTGCGTCTATAAGCAAGACGGCTTTCTGCCGCTGCTTACGCTTAAAGGTCACGAGTCGACCGTTTGTGCGTTGTCCGAGGGCCTGCATCCGCGCAGCCTCATCAGTGGCAGTTGGGACAAAACGGCCCGTGTGTGGACCATTGGAGAAACGGGCGAAGTGACGACCATAACGCTCAAAGGGCACGAAGCAGCTGTGTGGGCGGTTGCCACACTGAAGACGGAACAAAAGTACGTGACCGGAGGGGCCGACAAGTGCATTTACTACTGGAACGAGAAGGGCGAGAAGCTGCGTCTGCTCAAGGGCCACACCGACTGCGTTCGCGGTCTGATTGGCCTGGAGGCCAACACGCTGCTCTCGTGCGGCAACGATGCTGTTCTGCACTTTTGGAACGAAGATGGCGAGTGTGTGCGCAAGCTGACGGGACATACCAACTACATCTATGCCATGGCACGGAATCAGGCGCTGGGCGACCAAGTGGTCGTCTCCTGCGGCGAGGACAGCACCCTACGCATGTGGAATGTGATAACCGGCGATCAGCTAGGCGAGCCCATTCTGCATCCGGCCATATCGGTGTGGTCAGTGGCGTGCCTGCAAAACGGCGACATTGTCACGGGCTGCAGCGATGGCGTTGTGAGAGTCTTTAGCAAGGAACCAGCGCGGCAAGCGAGCGAAGCCGTGCGGAAAGCCTTTGACCTAGCAGTGGCCACACGCAAGTCGCAGCTAACCGAAGAGATTGGCGGCGTTAAAAAGACAGAGTGAGCATTGGCTAAGCTCTGGAAGTCGCTGACTTAACTCCTTCTTTTAGTCTTCCAGGTCCTGAGGCGCTGCTATCGAATGGCACCCGCGAGGGACAAACGAAAATGGTGCGTCATCTGGATGGATCCGTCAAGTGTTATAGCTGGGAGCTGGGCAAGTGGAATTTAGTTGGTGATGTCACAGGAGCGTCGGGCGGCACGCAGGAGAGCTCGGGCAAGAATCTGTACGAGGGCAAGGAGTATGATTTTGTGTTCAATGTTGACATCTCGGACACGGCTCCCCCGATAAAGTTGCCCTACAATCGCGGCGAAGATCCCTGGCTGGCCGCACAGGCCTTCATACACAAGAATGATCTGCCGCAGGCGTATCTAGAGCAGGTGGCCAATTTCATTGTAAAGAACTCGGAGAGTGGGCCAATGGTGGTGAGTCAGGCGCCCACCGGCTATCAGGATCCCTTCACTGGCGGCTCTCGCTATGTGCCCGGCTCCAGCAATACGAATGTCAGAACTACCGGCAATGCGGATCCCTTTACAGGCTCCTCCAGCTATTCCACTAGCAGCAGCCATGCTCCGTCCAGCGTGGATGTAAACTTTGTGGGTGCGGGCGATAAACACTTTCCCGTGAGCAGTTATCGCACATTTGATACCTGTGATGCCGCCAAAGTGCTGGAGAAAATGAAGTAAGTTCAGCATTGAGTGGAGCAATCCTTGAATTGAATTGAATTGGATTGCTTTTCCTTTCAGAGAGTTCAACAGCAAGCTGACGCCCAGCGATGGTAAAGTTGGCGATGAACTGCTGCTGGCTGTCATCAAGCTAACCGAACAGTCGCCGGTCCTCGAACTGACTGCTCTGGAGGCACTGGTTATACTGCTCAAATGGCCAGTGGGTCAGCTCTTTCCGGTCATCGACATACTGCGCCTGGCCGTGCGCAACGAGGCGATCTTCAGTGTGCTCTGCAATAGCCATGATTTCCTTAGCATCGTGCTACCACAGCTGGGTGGAGCAGCGGCTAATCAGTTGATGATCGTGCGATGCCTGGCCAACAGCCTCACCCACAAGACGGGACGGCAGGCGGTGGAGTCGCAGCTGCCCCAGATCATTGAGCTTATCAGTGGCATTCGTGCGGGCAGTGCCAATCTGCAGATTGCGATGGCCACCTTCTATCTGAATCTGACCATTTCGCAGACGCAGGGTGTGGCCAAGTCTGAAATATGCTACATGGTCACGACGGGCGTTGTGGAGCTGCTCAAGTGGGCCAAGGATCTGGAGGCCTGCTACCGGTCCATGCAGGCCATTGGCAATCTGACCACAACTCCCTGTGGCCAGGAGACCATTGCCCAGGTGATCTCCGTTGACTATGTGATGGACAAGCTGCGCGAGCTGACCAACACGCCCCAAGCCGAGAACTTCAGCAAGGTGAACTCGGTGGGACAGGCCCTGCTGGCTGCATTCTAAAACTACTTCTTGCATTAAGTCTAAATTATATATTGGAGAACGTTTTTTTCTAAATACACAATATTATACACAATCTTTGGAATGCTGTGGCACCTCTTCTGTGGCTGCCGTTGCTGCTGCAGCTGCTGGCTGCTGTCGGTTGTTTATGCGCTCCAGCAGTTCCAACTTCCAGCGTTCTTCGGGCACACCTTTTGCCCACTCCGGCACCGTAATGTTGGGCAACGTAATTGTGGACATTGCCTTCAGTATCTAAGGATAACAGTTATTTCATAAAACTATCCATCAGCTATGTATGTGCTCCAACCTGTTCTGTACGCGTCTTATCCAGCTCCATTTGTAGTGCTTGGGGCCGCGGCTCATTCCACACTTGTCGTTCGATTTCAATGTCGGCACACTCAATGGGCGGCATATTCGGATCACCATGTGTAACTTCCGCTGTTGTCAGATCGATGTCCTCATCATCTAAGGGTAGTGTGTTGGCCACCGCCTCTAACTCCACCTCCACCTGTGGTGGCTGTGGCTCTGTTCTCGGTTCATTGTCGTTCACATCGTCCATGGCAAGCCGCTGGTAGCCATCGTAGCCGTCTGAGTCGTCGCTATCCTCGCTCTCGACACCAACACGCGGATGGTCCACCGCTGGCGTTGGAAATATCTCATGACCAGGGTCAGAAGGACCAGGATCCGGACCCATTGTTTTATTTATTTATTTTGTTTTATTTTCGCAGTACGATGACGATGACTCGTTTCGATTATCTGTAGCAGTGTTGTAAAAGTTCAGCAGATGCAGTGCTTTACAGCGAGCTCATAGAGCCGTTACCTCAATGCAACCCAAACTAAATAAAACATTTCAAAGTTATTATTTAATTTTTAATACATATAACCCGCTGTGGATGCAGCGGCAGCTGAGCTGCTAACATCCGACACCCCACCCTTTTGGTGAGGCACAATTGTGGATTTGATGTCACGATTAGAGGTTTTACGCAGCTCCGTTGCGGCATGCTGCAGCTGCACCGTGCACTCGTTGCTGGCGCCATTCAGTGTGAGGTGAGCGCACTCCTTCTCGAGCAGCATGGCCAGAGCTTCGAGCAGCTCGACGAAACCGAGCGCCAGCGCGGCACGACGAATGCGATTGAGTTCCTTGTAAAAGTGCTGCGTCTTGTCGGGCATCTTCTTGGCGTGTCGCAGCACCTTCTGCACGTCGGACTGCAGACTCGCCTGCCGTATCCACACAACGCTGCTCTGCGAGTAGGAGCGACGATCGGCGCGCACTGGAAAGCTGGCTGTTTCCCCGGGTGCCAGATCCTCGGCAAACCCAAGCAACTCCAGATCTCCCAGCCAGGGTATGACGTTCGAGCCCGGCGGCAGAATGTTTAGCATCAGATTGGACTTCTTTTTGGCATCGGCGAAGGCATAGATGAAGCCGTACCACTTATCGCCCATTCGCACCAGGGCGGCCATGTTCTCCATTTTCAGAGCACCGTGCAGCAGGACACAGAGAGACTCTCGCTGCTGTTCCGTTTGTGGTCCAGTGGAGTGCTTGAGCACGATCGTGACATCCGCATCGTCGCCGCTCTCTTCGGTGTCCTTGGGGTCCTTGGCGTAAAACTCACGAATGTCCTGCTCCAGACTCTCCAGCACATAGTTGGGATTGTTCGTGTCCAGCGTGAGTTTGGCTGGCTTAGCCATTCCCGCAGCCATGCCCGCCGAGCGACGACTTGTCTTCTCACGCTCCACCTTCGGCAGCACCCAATGCCGACTGAGTGTCGCCGGTGAGCCAATGTCGGACAGCGCCAGAAAGCCACACACCTCGATGCGTTGATCAATGTGACGCAGCTGCGCCTCTACGCCACCCAGCACTGCCGGCTGCTCGTACGGCGTTGTAGGGGGCCAGAGGAGGACAGGCGCCTCCATGCGGAAATAGCTGCCGCACCTCAACGTGACCTCCGTGGACTTGTAGCTCGTCTCGCACAGGCGCTCAATCAGTTCAAAGACGGCCGTGCGTCCCAGTTCGCTTTTGTGACTCGGCGCAGAGGCGGCGCTTCCTCCCTCATTTGTTTCCTGGTTCTTCACAGGCGTCATAAAAAGCTGACCTGGAATGCAAACACGTTTAGGGTACAAACTCATGAGGTGTGTGCACTCCTCTACCCACCCTTCAGTGCAGCAGCATCCAGCAGCTGCTGATACACGACCAGAGCGCGTGTGAAAAAGAGATCGCTGTGCAGTCCCAGGCAGATGAAGTTCAGATTGTAATTGGCCACCGTGCGGAGCCATGCGTACTCCGGATCGGCTTCCTTGCCGGCATACGTTTCCAGGAACCCACTGATCGAGGTGCTGCAAAAGCCCAGACCGCAGTCGGTGAACACCACCAGCTGGAGCACGTTCTGTGCCCCCCATGTGGACATTATGCTGACGGATGTCTTGAGCAGCGTCAGCAGACACGACTTGTCCACAGTCTCAATCTTCTTTACCGCCTGCCGTATCTGATCGTAGTCCCGGGTGAAATCCACCCTCAGATCCGCTGTCATGGAGTACGACATCAGAGCAAGGTGCTCCAGTTTGCCGGCCGCCGTGAAATTGTCCAGCAAATGCTGGATGCCCTTGATGGCCAGCGATAGATATGTGTGCTCATTCCGGCCGGGCACTTGGCGCAGCATCGAAATTGATGCATCGACAGCTATGATTGTGGGCATTTTATAAATTGTTAAAACCACCAAAATGTATTTATTCCTGAGCGCAGCGTCGTTTGTTTACGTTTCTTCTTCTTGCGCTCCAGCTGAAAGTGCCATTCGCCTCGGGCCGTATTCACTTAGAGTCGTCCATTTGGCGGAAATAAAGAAAATCAATTGAAACAACCGCCTGATTGAGAATCAATCATTTAATCACTGAATATTATATCAGATTTTATTTGCCTTACTTTCACCGATCAGACTGTTCTCGAGAGTTTTTTTTTGTTTACGTTTCTTCTTCTTGTACTTTAGCTAGAAGTGCCATTTAGCACGAAGTAAGTGAAAAACTAAGCAGCTCAGCAAAGGGAGTGAGTTTGCATAGTTCACTCACTCAAAAGTACTCAACTGTGCTCGTTCACTATAGTGAATAGTCCTTGCCCAGCACTGGTGCACGCGTTCTCAAGTGAATGACTTAATTTCCTTCCATTTCGCGCCAACAAAGAAATTCAATTAAAGCAAACGCCTGATTTAGCATCTCAATCAATTGTTTGACAACTGACTGCATATTAGATTTTAATAGCCTTGATTTTGCCGCATAACCATTTAGAGGTCTGGGCATCCTTATCATTTGTTTGCATTGCACTCAATAGTTTTGTATTAAAATTAATTGAATTTTGATTCGATGCCCGCCGACGCGTCGTCTCTCATGCGGGGTGAGCTTGCTCCGCTTGCTCTTTTAATTACATTTTATTAAAAACATATGAGTGCCGACGGCTATCTCCAGCGCCAGCATCCGCTGAAGCAGAGGGGAGAATCGAACGAAATCCACTGCCGGAATCGGGGCATTCATTCAGTTTGCTCTGCTCGAGCAGTGAGGATCGCGGCTCGTCTTCCAAGTTAAGAAATTTCCAAAGTGTGTGACACATTCAACAAGTTTTAATATTCTGTTTGTAGACTTTTCCTGGGGAGTTTTGGAGTGTCAGAAAGTGAGTAACAAGTTGGATTTACTTAGCTCTGAGTAATTGTAATATAAATACCAAATAAACACTCTGGCTCTATACATTTAAAGCTCCAACAATTGATCAACCTTTTAACCCAAGCCAAATGCTTATCAACAAATTAATACACTCTCGTTCAGTCTCGTCGTTTTTTGTTATTTTGTTATTATTAATTTTTATACTCATTAGCGGTGTATTTTATTTGTTGTAATTGTACTCTGTGATAATTTCACTCGCATATTTCTGACCCAATTTCCCGAATGCAACATTTCCTTTCCAGTGCAAAACTGGCACGAGTCTGGTTGGGGTCGCATATATTTTTGCGTCATTTGTTTATCGTTGCAGAAACAATATAGCATAGTCCGATTATATGGCAGTCTATATACGCCAAATATATGTACATAGCACACAACGAGGTCTAACAATGAAACCGACAAGGAACCCATGCAAGGCGCTTTGTTTGCAAATCTTTTTCGGAATGACTTTATTTGTTTGTTTCCCCTTCCCGTTGCCCACGAAAATTGCATTTTTCTCGCTTGCATTTTGGCCATAAATTCCTCGCAGTTTTGTTTGTTTACAGTGGACAGAATTATTTATTGCTGTTGTTGGCTGCAATTTATGACAAGGAAATATTTGGTTTATAACTAACATCCCCCCCATCCGCATGCACTAAGGCCAACGCTGTGGCGCCTTCCATTGATTCCGTTTCCTCTTGTCGCTGCACAGAAATACTCACGCTGCGGATTGCATAGCTGCTCGAATTTGCATCCTAATTAAAGATCATATCGGATCATCAGAGACGAGTCCACGCACTGCTGCACCATGGCCAGGGGAAGTCAAACACTCCAATTAGTATTCTTAGCTTTAATTGCTCTATCGCAATGGCAAACACTGGCAGCGGCGATGCCCGTCACGTAAGTAATTGCAAAAACATTTACATAAATAAGTACATATTTACATAAATACGTACATTTATTTCTGATGGCCAAATGAACCTCTAAAATGTAGGCTCTAATTTAATTAAACATTTCAGATGGAGAAATATTAAAGTGGTTCTAATTGGCAGCTAAGACTCGAAGATCTTTTACAGTTTCCTATCATTTAAAGATATTTCAAGTTGAACAAATAAGAGAATATTTAGGCTGGTGTAAGGAACCTCTAAGTTGATGGGAAATTACATAAAGAACAATATTTTCTTAGGTTTAACTTTATTTAAAGGCAATTTTAAGTGGACTTCAGTGGAAAAATATTTGCTTTTTCATCGTCAAACTTATCCTTATATTTTATTAGATATCAAACAAAAATCCATATGCTGAAAGAGCTGAAAGAAAACAAAACGAAAATGAGTAAAGAAATTTGAAGTAAAATGTCATGCAACGAAAACGCATAAAATCTGAGCTCATACATAAACCTCTTAAATCATAAAAGAGCTGTAATTGGATGCCTAATTTTTGAACAATTTCCCTCTGCCCATGTCGAATTCAAAGAGCACTAAAAATATTCTAGTTCTGGGTGTTGCTCCAGCCCCAGCGCTCATCGCATTTGGACACATGTCACACACATTCGTTCGCACTTCATTTTGGGATATTCGGGCTCTTATCCCAAGGAGGAAGGGAGTGGGTTTTAGCGTAGCGAAATATGCGAGACATCAACAGTCCCAGTGCCAGTGCCAGTGCCAGTGCCACTTACATCTAAGTCCCCTGCATTCATTCACAGTCCCAGTCCAAGGCACTGCTCTCCTCCCTTCAAAAGAAAAACGAAGATGTTCAGTCCCGTCCGTTTGGCTGTACGGCTCTCCGTCCGTCTGTTGCTGTTCCGCTTATTTGTTTGTTTATTTTCGGACCCCGGGGCCGGGGCTGCAGCTCTCTAACTGCAGACACTTCATGCAAATGGGCAACGGGGAGTGGGAGTGGGAGTGGGGCATAGCGGCGGCATGTGTAGCCGCCGGCACTTAGGCAGTTGCATCTCCCCCCAGCTCCCACTGTGGCATATCCATCAGCATCAATGCATTTCACACAAACAGAAACTAAAACAGGGTTCCTGACCCTGAGAACCGGAGAGAAGCAACCATTAACGATCGCAATCGAAATGGGAAACGGTATTGGGGGAATGAAGGAATGGTACACACAGCTGGGATGAGCGGAATGGGGGAATGGGAATGGCGGCCCTTCAATATTTATAGATGCAATGGCGGAGGCCTCCCACTCAGATGATTAATGAGCTAGAAAAAATTCCTTGCAGCAATGAGGAGCTGCGCGGCACCCTCCAGTCGCTGATCTATTCGTACAATCAGCTCGACAATAAGCTGGAACGGCACGAGCATCGTGAGCGTGCCTTGGGGGAGCTGCTCAAGAAGGCGCTGCAGTCGCTGCAAAAGGGCCAAAAGAGTTTGGAGCCCATCAATGGGATATTCGGGAGGTTGGACGAGCGTGTTAGCCAGATCGAAACGATGCTCATTACGGTGAGTTGCGGACAGTAACCCAATCTCCATCCCAGCTAATGGCACATCTTCCACGTGCAGCAAGAGGAAAAATACAATGCGCAATCGGATCGCTTCAATCAGGCCACCGAGCACATGTTCAAATGGATGCGGGAGAATGACGAGTGCTTCAAGCGTCCGCCAGCAACTGCCAATTTGATTGCGGCACCCGCACCAGCGGCCATTCCGAATGAGTTTGTCCAGGAGCAGCAGCGTCTCAATAGGCAGCTGCTGGAGGAGCTCCAAAAACTCTCCTCGAGTGTCAACTCACTGCTGGACAGCAGCAAACAGACAGCCACGCAGACCCAGAAGAACTTTGACAGCCTGCCCAAGGCCAACGAACTGCTCACGCAGATTGAGGCGAAGCTGCAGCAGCACTCGTCCAGCGTCACGACAGCAGCACCGCCCAAGAACGATGAGTTTGAGACGCAGCTGCTGGAGCGTCTGAATGCTTTGGGTGGTCAGGTGGCTAAACTGAGCGATGTACCTCCGCCAGCTCCTGCACCTGCACCTGTTGGTCTCAACGAGAAGGACAGGGCGTACATTCAAGAGTTGAATAACGAGACGCTGAATGCGCTGGCCAAACTGAAGAGTGAGACTGCGTTGGGACAGCAAACAGGTACGCACATCCAATGCCAGAACCTTCTCAGTCCCTTAAGCTCTCTTTCTAATGTTTATCCCCGCCTCTAGCTTTAACCCAAACCACGGAACGTTTGCAGCAAACAGAGGCAAACATTCAGGCGGACGTTAAGCAGCTCTCCACCGATGTGGGCGTGTTGAACACCTACTTCGCTTCCGTCAACGAGAGCAACAGCAAGCTGAACGATGGCTTTGAGGCGTTGGGCAAGTTCAACAACATTATGATGACCAATTCGGAGGTGGTGCTGGACACGCAGCGCAAGGTGGAGTTCGGCACACTGCAGATTGTGCAGCGAGTGAGCAAGCTGCTGGAGGAACAGGTAACCGATCTGAAGGCTGTGCTCAAGACACGTTTTACCGCGCTGGATGGCGCTGTGGTGAGTGGACAGCAGGAGGCGACTCGCAACATTAGCGGACTGCTGGACACGGAGCTCACACAGGTGTGGCATCGCATTGAGATCATGTCCAGTGAGATTAGCCAGAGCAGGGACATGCTGAGCATCATTCAGGCTGCCTCCGATGGTTACATCAACAGCACTTTGGCCACCATGATGGGATTGGGCGGCAAGGTGGAGGAGACCAAGAAGCACATGATCGATATGGATGAGAATTTGAACTTCCTGCTGGGCAAACTCTCGCTAATGTCCAGTGAGTTTGCCAACATCAAAAAGGGTCTCGCCGACTCGCTGGAGGATTTGCGCAACTCCTTCCATTTGCTGCACGAACGCATGCCGACGGGTCCGGGGCCGCACAACATTGAGAAGAATCAGTATCTGACCGACGTGAATCTGCTGTCCAAGCGGCATGCCGAGGAGTAGAAGTGGCCACTGAAATTATATTTAACATGAAAAAATACAATAAACCTAACCGTAGCGCCTAAGGACACCAACCACTTACACACAAGAAACATATTTATGCAATTGCGATCCTAAAACACACACAAATCAAATCTCTCTCTTAAATACATTTCGTTTATGAACAAATTATGAACTTTCTCGCTTACATTCTAGAGGAATAGTTGAAGGGTTTCTATTTTACATACGGATTAGGTTTATCTACTTAACTTGTATATTCGCTTGGCCACCCTACTTGCCCCACCTCTGCTCGCAGCGTGAGTATCGATAGAGCACCTTGGTGAAGCATTCCACATTGAAGTAACGATCGCTGTGATGCGTATGGAATTCGGTGAAGCGCACATGCCACGGCATCAGACCATAGGTGCACGTTTGACGTGCAAATATGATGCCCAGGTCAGGGTCGGGTGCCTCATAGCCCAGCCGTTGCGACAGCCTTAGGGTTATCTCATCGGTGAGGGATTCCCGCTTCTGCAGCAGGTCCTGCACCAGAGGTGTCTTCCGTATTTCGTACAGATCTCGGCAGACATCTGCTATAAGGGCATGGCAATCCGCGGGCCTAATTCGATAGACCTGCAGCACAAAGACAACAATAAAATCAATTAGCGTTTGGGTACCGTGTACAGATAAGGCGGCGATTAGTTCTGGGAACCATCGACGGTCGCTTGGTAACTTGTCTTATCAGTCAGTCTTACCTGCAGCTGGGGTATGTGCGTGCCGTTTACACCGTTCGCATACCCATTACTCCTCTTGTGGTGTCCATTTGTGTGGCCATTGGTTTTGTGATGCACTGTTCGCGCTGTCCAAATGTAGCATCTCCCGCTGGGGTCCTCCCTCGGCTGGCAGAGTGGCTCCAGTTCCACATAGCTGTCCTTTTCCTCACGCCTGTCGTACACACTGACGTGCTTGATGCCAATGGCCATGGCATAGCCAAAAATGGCATTTAATCGTCTAGCATTCACGTAGTGGTCATCCGGAGCTATGATTAACACCAGGTGCTGCGGCACTTTCGTCAGACTTGCCTTGCACTCGGCTAGTAGGCGGCGCTCGTGCCGCTCACGCGCATCTTTTCCGCGACAAAAGTCATATGACCCGCGTACCAGCGCATAAAGTGTCTGCTGCTGTCGCCGCAGTAGCTCGTAGGCGCCGACCAGGAGTAGCAGGAGTTTGCCCAGCAGTAAGCAGATCACTTCAATCATGGTGGGATTGGCCTGCGGTTTGTGAAGGATCGCTGGCGATTGCTACTGGCCTCCTGTTGCTTCTTGAGGTCCCGTTCAATGTGTATACATGCAAACATAACCTGCAAACAAAGGCGGAACGTTAGTAAAACCCTTTTGCCTGAACCGAGGACTCACCCACGCTAATCCAGGCCTGTGTGGCGTAATTCTTCAATCGCTACGTGGGGGTCATTGTGTTATGTAGCTGCTTTAGTATAAAGTTTATAAACCCCGATGCATCCCCAGTAAAGTACGTGTTCTAAGCAGTGTGACCAGTTGGCGATAAAATATACCGTCAAGGCCTCATAAATATACCGAAATATACCATTGCATCTTCAAAATATACTGTAAATATACCAAAGTCTTTAATCAGATTCTTCGATTTTGATGTTCTATTTGATATTGCTAGCTTGCAAAGAGTTTCACCATGGTAACAATAGTTTAATCCAATTCAATAATCAATTTTGATTACGTACAGTACGTACAGTGATTACTCACAGAAGATTGTTGCTATAGAACATATATGTAATATGTGAATATCGATAGAGAAAAGCAGAATATCGTGAATATCGAAATTGAAAGAACAAGATTATTAAATTGATTGAATTTCGACTCGGTCGAACCCGCAGCACTTAGCTTTTTACTTCGAGATTTTGATTCCGAACTGGTTGCTAGGAGTTGCAGAAACACCTATTATAAACGCTTATTTTTATTGGATTATAAACCTTATGACCTTATATTTTTCAAATTTCTATTTAAATTTTTAAAATTATTAAAAGAGACATGTATATTAACTGATAACATTCAAAAAATTTAAAAATAGAGCGCACAACAAAAGAGAGAAAGAAATTCTATTCTTTTCCAGAAAGGAAAAGGGAACAGAAGGAATTATTATAATAAGATCGATGTGGTTTGGGGGCCAGCTGTTCTATCCTTACAACACTATTGGGACTAGACTCCGGTCACTAACCAAATAGTATATTTGGTTAGTTAGTTAGTTAGTACTATTTGGTTAGTGCTCCGGTTTTGGGAGATTTTCGCCCTTTTGGGGGGTGGGGCTAATTTTTGAGACTATCGTGATACTATCAACCACTATCGAGACTTTAAACCATCGATACGAGCTAGGTCGATAGTGTCCAACCATCGATAGTACCGATAGTGCCATCGATAGTTCTCCACCTCTGCACAGTTTTGCCGGTTTTGCTGCGTCTCCAAGTTCTTGTGAAAATATTAAGTACGAATTAATTGTCTGCCAAGTCTTCGAAGCTAATCAAGGTGAGTAATCCACGAGAATATCCATCAACCGCACATCCTGCCCTCGTAGCTCGAGTTTGTGATTAAGTCGATGTCCAGGCGGCTGTCTGGAGTAAGTGAGTGGGTGGGTGTGTGCAAGTGTATCCTAAATATATATAAAGATATGTATATTTATATCTACATATGTATATATGTGCATGGTGTGAATGTACAAGAGACAGCTGTGCTGTGCCGCTGTGACAGCGAACCATGGACGATTTAGATGTGATGGCTATTTTCGTGTGATTCATTTTGTTTAGTGAAATTAAATTCACGCAAACACGTACATATATGTGTGAGGGTGTGTATATTTGCTTTTCTGTGTTTCTCGATGTATTTTTAATGATGATTTCATATCCAATTCCATTTTACTTAACTAATTGCGCAGATACAAATGTATGTACATTGTATGCAAATTAATTTATACGTGGATGGATGGTTCTAGTACATATTCTAACAATCCAACCCGATACCTTAACTACTCAGCTGTTCTGTGACTCACGCACACACACACAGAGTCGTTTCCCCAATTCGATAGTTAACGCAAGACCGACCAAACCCAACCCTCGCCTGTATGGATGATGACTCAAAAGATGGCCGAAATGCTATCAGTAATATTCGCAACTGAAAACGGTTGCAGAGATTACAATTATTCCGGGTATTTTACTTACTGTTGCCTTAGAAGGCGGTAAGTTTCCAACTTCCAATTAGCAGAAGTTTACGATAGTGCCACCAATACAAACACACGCACAGAATTGCATGCACGCATATGTGGGATAACGGTGCATCTGCTGCAGACATTTAATCTGCTTGCGATTCTAGTTTATAAACGCATCAGCAACAGCAGAAGCAACAAGAACTAGTATAGTTGGGGCGAAAGTTGCCACCGGTCTCGAAAACGGATTCGGATTCCCCACTCTTAATTGCCAGCCATTTGTTTTAGCCAGTTAAGATGTTAGGCACAAAAAACCACTTTGCCGGTGCAATAAACTCATTGCGCAGCTGTCGAGGCTCTCTCTGTCCCGCTCTTTTTGTTTGTCTCTCTTGATTGTTCGCTGAGGGGAGGCTTAATGTAAGCTTTCTCTGCCGGTCAAGTGCATCTTTTTCGAGTTAGGCGAAATTATCTACACCGAAAGTAAATATTAAGCTAACATTTTCATTGCCAATCAGTTGCTTGCCCGAATTGGTCAAGCATCGCCTGCAGTGTCATGCCAAAATAGGCGAAAAATGCACAAAACAGCTGAAAGCTTGAACTTGCTGCTTATATGAGCTTAACATATTAATGTGGGGTTAACAGCAGAACAGTGGCCAGAGGCTGCGGCTTGTCCTGTGTGCAGAGTGTATTAACAAAGGGGGGTGAGGCATATGTGCCGCGCTCTCTCTCTCTCTCTCTCGCTTTGTGCGCTCTCTCGGCGTGCTTCACCTTGCATAACTGTTCCCCTTGCTCCTGTGCGTGCGCGTGTGCTCCTTTTAGGGTGTGTTCCGCCGTATGGGTGTGCCGTGACCGTCGGTCCGTGTGTGTGTGTGTATGTGTATTTGTGTGTCATTTGGCCTCCGCAGTCGTCACTTGACCCAGTTGGAGACCGGAACAGCAACCAGGAAATTTCTTTTATATTGGACAGAAAACTGCTGTGAAAAAGTGTGTGTTAAATCTGTTAATCTCTCACCTGGAGTCGGACGTCAGACAAATAGACAGACAGATAAGCCACGAAGGAGTGGCTGACCTGACTCCGCTTTTGGTTTCCATTTCTCATGTGTTCTTTCCTTTTGCGGCTTTTGTCATTTGCCTCTTCTAACCCATTTGTATGGCTGCCTGCCACCGCCACCTTCAATGTGCTGATGCTCTGATGCTGAATGCCACCGATGTTGTGTGTGACCGCTGTGCCGTGTCCGTGTGTCTAAGCATGAGATAAAAGAAGAAAAAAACTTAAAACGGAAATTATATAATGTGCTACAACGTTCGTCTTTAAAGTGAAGACCACCCAACGGCCGCAAAATGTTCTCATGCTGTCGAGCCAATACCAAAGTAAGCAAAAAGGACAAGGGCAGCAAAGTCGAAGAAGAGAATGAAGAGGTGCTAGTGCCAGTGCCAGTGCCAGAACCAGTGTCACCCAACCCAACGAACGAAAAGGAGGAGCCACCCCAGCTGAATGGCACTGCAGCCAAGCTTGAAAGTGAACCCGAGCCGGAGCTAAAGCTAATGCCAGTGCCAGAGCCACAGGCAGAACCAGAGCCAGTCTCTGTGGAGGCGGACGACAGTGTCGCCCAACCAATGTCAAACGATGAAGTTGCCAAATCCGATACTGGTATTAACTTATTCCCTAAGTATACACAACTCTATCTACTCCACCACTCTCTGCTGCTGCTGCTGCTGCCGCTGCTCTGTGTGCTCTTTGAAGCACTTCAAAGCAATCGCACGCTCGGCTTTTGTGTACATTTGCACAGGGTTCAGAGACCTCCGCAGCCTGGACCTGCAGCCCAGCCCCAACCTAGGCCAGAGCTTTGTGCTACTTCTTCTTGTCTCTACTTTTCTTTTTGATTTTTAACCACTTTATGCTGTTTTTCGTTGTACTTTCCGCCTGTTTCCATGTGGCTATAAGGGAATATCAAGGCATGGTGACGATTCATTAGCTGATAATGACTTTACCACACATAAACATCAATCAAAGTCATAGATAAGCTTTAAAAATAAACGATAAATGTTTGTAGTTATCGAACCAGCAAGTAATCACTTATAAAACGATTTTTAATCGATTAATTAACCGCCTGGCTGCCTTGATATTCTCTGCCACAACTTAAACCTCTAGAAGAGTAATCCTAAGCAACGTTTTCACAGTCATTGTAGACGTGTTAGCTGCACCAGTGACCACTGAAAAAGAGACAGCAAGTCTTCCATCTCCCGTGCTGCAATCTTCGCTTCGCTCAACACATTCGTCGACCTCTACGGCCCCACCCGCATCAATGACGAGCGCCGGTGTGGAGGATGAGGATGATGTGGTTGTGGCAACGGTTACACCGACAACGCCGCCACCACAGCCACCGCCCACAAAGAGCTGCCTGTCGCGCCACAATTCCACACATCAATCCATCAAGAAGAAGGTGAACATCAGCAATCGGGCGGAGATAATTGAGCCGGAGCCGGAGCTGCCACCGCTCGGCATGCACAATCACAATAACAACAATGGCTCGCTGGCCGACGACGATGAGGTGTTCTCGGACTCGTTGCCACCGCCCAAACGGGAGAGCATGTGTGCGCCATATATTGAGGGAGATCTGGTCTCCGAAACGCTGGCCTTTGCCCACGGTCTGCCCGTGTGGTTCGAAGACGAGCGACTCAATGAGATGTATGCGCCTTGTTCTTCTTTAATTCTTGTTTAGTTCTCGCTCCTTACGCGTTCTCTGCGTTCGCTAATCCTTTTCGACTATTCACATCCTCTGTTGTCCTTCATGTTCAGGGGCTGCATTGAGCCACCGGTGACGCCAGTGGGACGCGATGAGCTGGAACTGAAGCGGCAACGCCTGTATACGGAGCTACTGCGAGCGGCACACGCAGCCGTCGAGCACAGCGTGGCCGTGCGGGGTATGATGATATCCTCGTTCTCAGTTCTTAAATACTTGAATCTCGTGTGGTTTAATTTACAAGCGATTTGTGTGAAATTGTTCACTAATTTTCCGTTTATCAAATCGGTTGTGTCTGAGAGTTAAACTTAAATCGCGTTCAAGTAACTTTGTATTTTGGATTTTAACACTCTATTGTTCCTTCTCTCTTGTTCTTTCGTTCTGTTTTGTCTGTTTTTGACGTTTTCTTCCTAGTCTTTTGCATGTGGCAATGTCGTCGATTCTTTGATTTTGTATACCCTTGCAGAGGATCATTTCAAGCTCCCTAATGTCTGTTTGTTATTGCTGTCATAGTAAAGTTATCGAACATAATCCATCTCTAAGAAAAAGCTCTGTACATTTTTATTGATCTGCAAGGGTATCGATGACTTCGGCCTTCGAAGTTTGACTTTCTTTCTTGGTCCTTCCCTCTGGCCAACACTTTGATTTATTACATTTCTTAATTGATGTTTATTAAGTACACAGCTTCATGGAACTTTTTCTGTTGTACTTTTGTCCTGAAGTTCATCATCATCATCATCATCATCATCATCATCATCATTGCAGCCCATTCCATCATTCCATCTTGCTCACTCGCAGCGACGTTTTTTCTCGCTGACTTTTGATTTGTACTCGTACCATTTAATGTATTTTCAATAGCGACTTTTTGTGTGTTGTGTGCACGATTTATTAGGGGGGAAAAGGATACTCTCCATCACGAATTTTTCTTTGTACTATGTGTGATTATTATATAAATTTGTTAATGTTCTTGAAGCACTTAAATCCATTACCGACAAACCAATGTTCGAGTTTTTATAACAAATAAAATTCTTTAACCATTTAGAAAACGAACCCGACGCTAAGCCATCGGCTGCTGGACATTTGGAAAGCATTTGTGAACGCTTGGAGAGTCTAGTTGATCGCTTGGAGCGTACCTTGATCGCGCCACCGACGCAGTCACAGGCCCAGCCGGAATCGATTGAATTGCCCCCGCCACCATCACCGCCACCGCCACCACCACTAGAAGCTGAAGAAGCTGCTAACCCAGAAGACGTTCTAGCCGAAGTACCGCCAAGCAGCATCATGAGTGTCGCGGGATTCGAGGACATCGTTGCGGGTCCGCTGAGCAAATACCTGACTCTCTCCGCTAAAATTGGCGGCGATGTGGCCCAGCATGCCGAACTCGTGAGAAGCGTTTTTGCGTGAGTCAAACCGAGGAAGAGTCATCCAGCTGTTTGCTCAAGTTTTGGTCCCTCTTTTAACAGCCTGCAGCAGCAGTATGTGACACTGGCCACGCAGATTGCTCAGCCGGCGCAGCCAAAGCAAGCGGAATTGCTGAAGCCCACGTCGACGCAGATCAGCGCCATTCAGGACTATCGCGAGAAGCATCGCACGTCGCCGTTCTTCAATCATCTGTCCGCCATTAGCGAGAGCATTCCCGCCCTCGGTTGGGTGTGCGTTGAGAAGACGCCCGGACCGTATGTCAAGGAGATGAACGATGCCGGCCAATTCTACACGAATCGTGTGCTGAAGGAGTGGAAGGAGAAGGACAGCACGCATGTGGAATGGGCACGTTCCTGGGTGCAGACTCTCGCCGAGCTGCAGGCCTACATCAAGCAGTATCACACCACGGGTCTGGTGTGGTCCGGCAAGGGTGCGGCACCGTCTGGCGGTGCACCACCTCCGCCACCACCCGGCGGTCTGCCACCACCACCACCTCCATTGGACTTGAGCGCCCTGAAGCTGGAGAGCGGCGGCGATGATCGTAATGCGCTGTTTGCCCAAATCAATCAAGGCGCTGACATTACCAAGAGTGAGTATGAAATGTTCCCGTTCTGTGGATTGTTCATCAATCTTTTGCTGTGTCTTTCACCTGAACAGACCTAAAGAAGGTCACTGGGGATATGCAGACCCACAAGAATCCCTCATTGCGCACTGGACCGGCACCATTCAAGACGCCCGCTAAGTCGGGCTCATCGGCTGCACCCGCAGCACCTGCCGTTGCCAAGGAACCCGTCTTCACACGCGATGGCAAGAAGTGGCTGATCGAATACCAGAAGAACAACACTGGCCTGCTGGTGGACAATGCTGAGATGAACAATGTGGTCTATGTGTTCCGCTGCGAGGGCTCCACGCTGACGGTCAAGGGCAAAGTGAACAACATTGTGCTGGACTCGTGCAAGAAGTGCTCGCTGCTGTTCGATTCGGTGGTGGCCTCCGTTGAGTTTGTCAACTGTCAGAGCGTCCAAATGCAGGTGCTCGGCTTTGTGCCAACAATTTCCATTGACAAGAGCGATGGATGCCAAATGTATTTGTCCAAGGAATCTTTGGGCGTGGAGATTGTTAGCTCCAAGTCTTCCGAGATGAATATACTCTTGCCCGATGCAAGCGGTGATTATGTGAGTGCCAAAAGGAATGGGAAACTCCTCGAAATATTACTAATTTGTGCTCTCTTTTTGCAGACCGAACTGGCTGTTCCAGAACAGTATAAGACCACCATTGCTGGCAAGACCCTCAAGACTGTGTGCGTGGACAGCCTCGGCTAATGTGTGTGCGTGTGTTGGGTATTCAGCCATCCGTTGCTTTTCCAGCTATCATCAACAGCATTGGCCAGACACGTCAATCATTATGTGTATCTAATATTAAGCGCAAAAAGTTTTCGTAATTCAGAAATTGTAAGAACCCAAAAACAAACACAAAACATTTGCTATCGTGAAAAGTATTTATATATAAAGATATTTGTGTCGATGGTCAATGGAAATGCGATGAAAAAGCTTCGATGGAACGAACCGAAACGTAAGGAACCGCTAAGAACAGAACCCCCAATGTATTTATATCGAGATTCGAACATTTTTTAAGCAGACTCTTCATTTGATCGTCAGAAAATACAACAAACACTTTTTTATATTCTATTGAAATAAAATTTAAACATTTTTTATCAAATAAAAAAAAGGAGAAATTGAAAGCGTTTTATTTCTACTAGAATTACATTTACAATTCAATTATTAAAGCCTGGATCTGTGGGTGGTAGATTAGGGGGCTAGGAATGGCTGTTAATACTTTTGATCCTATATCTTCTTGTACTCGATTCGCTCCACTTTGACCTCGTCGCCAATTAGCTGATAGACGTACGTCACCACCGTCGTGCTTTGGATATCCATCAGCACGAAAGAGGGCACCACATTCATGTCCAGCGGATTGAAGGCGCCCGTTGCCGAGCCTGGATTGATGTAGAACTTGTTGCCGTGCTCGTACGCCTCGAACTTGTACGTGTGCCCCGTTATCAGTATGTCCACATCAAGCTGGCGTTGAATCAGCGCCAGAGCCTCTGGATCGCCGCGCGGCACCACCTGATGGCCATGGCACAGGCCGATGCGGAATTGGCCCACTGTCACCACTTTCTGCTCCGGATAGCTGAGATTCTCGTCAAAGTCACCGCGCACTATGTGCACATCGTTGGCCAGCGATTTCAGATAGTCGTAGGACTCTTTTGTGCAAATGTTGCCGGTGGCCAATATGTGGTGGATCCGTCCCGGCACCAGCAGCTTCTTGAACTTGTACGGCAGGCTGCTGCAGCGATGCGGGATGTGCAGATCCCCGAGTACCAGAACGAGCATTGTATTATCCTTGGGGGGCTTATCTTGTTTTGTTTTTCCCTAAAATTGTGAAACGCCCAGCGATTGAGCTGAAACTGCAGTATGACCAGGTCGATAAAATACTAACCATATACCAAGATATGTACTACAGTGGGCTTGAGATCTCATACATGTGTACAAAATTGTTGATAATATATTTATCACAGTTGTAGTTTTTCATCTACATATTCGATGCTTAACTTTTGCATTTTTATACACTCATATTCCATTAATTGAAGACTGTAATGACATGCAGTAGGAGTGAGAGCTATTTATGCTTTATATATGATCCACTCATCAACCATTTACAAATGTTGTACCTTTGTTGTTTAAACTTTAATGTGTATCTTAAAAATATTTTAATTAAAGAAAATTGGTTCACCAATCATATAAAATTATATATTAATTCCAGAGAGTCCCAACTAGCTTGAAATATTAAACCGAATATCAAAATAGAGGAAAATGATTTCCATCGGTATATTTACGGTATATTGTGTAATTGAGAAGGTATTTTTCGACATATTGGTGAAGCTTGTTATCGATAAAATGGAACCGGAACAAAATGCAAGCACCGAAAGTACGTTCTGTAAATAATTGAAATATCTCGTATTTTATGGATATTTTACAGCTGAGTCCGGCATCGACCTGTTGGTCATCGTGCTGGACACGAATCCATCACAGCACATAGTCCGCCAGAACCCGCAGAACCTCACACAGATACTGGAGGCAGTGATCGCTTTCGGCAATGCGCACCTCATGCAAAAGGCACAGAACAAATTGGCGGTCATCTCCTGCTCGCATCATGCAACGTAAGTGGAGTGCTTAATTCTAGTTACATCTTCGAAATTGATTGAGTTTTTCTTTGGCAGAAATTTCCTCTATCCACAGCCAAGGCGTCAGGTGGAACTGCGACAGATTGACGGCCAGTACGAGGCCTTCAGTTTGGTGGAGAAGACTGTGAAGCAGCAGCTGGGTAGCATTCTGATGAATGCCCCTAGCCTTAATGCACCCTCTGAGAGCCTGCTAGCTGGCAGCATGGCCATGGCACTGTGCTACATATCAAGAGTGAGTGAAAACTGAGCTCCAAAGACAAATATAACCCGAATTTCGTTTAATTTCAGTTGCAACGCAATGTTGCCGCCGGCGTTAAGATGCATTCCCGCATTCTGGTGCTGACGGGCAGCAATGAGTGCTCCTCCCAGTACATGACATTCATGAATGTGTTCTTTACCGCACAAAAGCTGGGCATAACTATAGACACCTGCGCCTTGGATAAAACTTTGAGCTTGCTGCAACAAGGCTGTGATATAACCACTGGCCAGTTCCTAAAGGTCACACAGTTGGATGGCCTGCTACAGTATTTACTGTGGGTGTTTCTGCCGGCACCACAGATGCGTCACAAATTGGTACTTCCGCCACCGCCAAAGGTGGACTATCGCGCCTCCTGCTTCTGCCATCGAGAGCTCATTGATATTGGCTATGTGTGCTCCGTTTGCCTGTCGGTGTTCTGCAAATATAGTCCCATTTGCACCACGTGCCAGTGAGTATAGAAGGGGTTTACTTGCCCGATTTATGGTACAAGTTTTGTTTGTATCTTTGCAGCACAATTTTCAAGACCCCTGGACCGCTGCCCGTGAAGGCCAAGAAGAAAAAAAAGGATAAGCAAATGTAACTTCAGAAGCTTCAAACGTCGAGGAATTCTTTGGAAAGGAATTGCACTTGGCTTCCGGTTACTTTGTATTCTATAAGTTCAACCTCAATCCATTTTCTGTACATTTTGTACACTCAGGAACACATTCTTTATCATTTTTCTCATACATTTCTTGTAATTTTACTAAAATACATAGGGCCAAAGTTGGCTGGCAGATAAGGTATCACCATTTGGCCATATTTAAGCCCCTTTGGGTGCTCAAACTTGAACACATCCGAGAAGAGTTCCGCCTGTCTGCTCAGATCTTTAATCGTTGCAGTAATGCCATGCTCGATGAAGACTTTCTGCAGCGCCATGTGCACCACGCCATCGTTTTGTATGGGCGATAGCGAGCAGGTGGAGTAAACGAGACTGCCGCCGGGCCGTAGTAGGCGCAAACAGTTGGCCAGAATGTCCGACTGGAGCTCGGGTATGCGCAGGCGTTCCTTGATGCGCGACGGCTTGAAGATGTTGTTGTCCTGCTCCATGACCACATGACGATCTGTGGTGCAGGGCACATCCACCAGTATTTTGTCGTATTGCTGGTACTCATCCAGATTGCGGGCATCGCTCTGGCTGAAGATCAAATGCTTGGCGGCCAAACGCTGCTTGTAGTCGAACAGAAACTCCTGCATGAGGCGGCGCACTCTGTTCACGCGCGACTCCTGTATGTCATTGCACACCAGTTTGTCCAGGTGGAGTGTCTGCAGCAGCAGCAGTGACTTGCCACCCGGCGAGGCACAGGCATCCAGCACCTTTTCGCCAGGTTGCACCTGCAGGAAGAGTGGCGGCAGCGTGGAGGCGCCGTCCATCATGAAGTGCGAGGAGACGCCCGTGAGGCATTTCTTTGGCGCCTTAAAGTCCGAGCAGTTGCCCATCTCGTAGGTGTACAGCGCCAAGTGCTCAGGATAGTGGAACAAAGTTTCCGGCTCTATTCTGAGCGGAAAATCTGCACTGGTCTGGTAGTATTTGTAATGCTCTGACTCTGCCACCCAATCCTCCATGCCCTTGATGCTGTGTGCAGGCATATACTCGTACAGGCCCCCAGTGCCAAACTGGGGATCCACTAACCGGTGCTCATCCAGCTTCACATCATTCTCCAGCGCTTTTGTCAAGCTCTGCTTGAAGTCCTTCGACTCTGATTGTGTTTTCTCCTTTGCCTCGACATTGTCGTACTTTAATTGTTGTGGCATCTGCACAGACGCACCATCCTCTCCAGCACTGGGGTAAATGGAAGCCACCTCGCGTTCCTGTTGCTTTCGCAGCAGCGCATCAAGTTTGTCATCGATTTCGTAACGATTCTGGCCCTGGCCCTCCGTCGCTGGGTCTGTGCCCCGAAGACGCTCCTGCGCCAAATTGATGAGGGACTTCATGTTGATGGCCCCGTCCGTCTCTAGCATGCTGCAGGTCTGTTCCGTGTTCCCGAAATTGTTCACCATGGCAATGTACTTGTGCCTCGTGAGCAATGCGGCTCGCATGTTCTTCCATCGTGTGCCGTAAACGGAGCCGTAGAAGTCATCGAAGCTGTCTATGGCCCGGTCGCAGTTGTTTTTCTTGTTCTGTAGCACATTCCATCGCTTCTTTCCTCCACTTTTCCAGCGTCGCTGCAGCCAAAAAACGCTGCGAACGTTTAACATTTTTAAATTTGATTTTGTTTTATAAATCAGCCGGATACCGCAATATACCAAAACAATTATGAAATATACCATTATACACCTCAGAAATGTTACGAAATATACCAAAAATCCTGAATAATTTTCCTCGACTTTGATCTTCTGTTCGATTTTACTATCTGATTAGGACTTTCAGCACTAAACCAATAATTTGACTCTATTCATTAATTAACTCTCCACAATATTGTCTAGTCTTCAGGATCTGTCTTTATTGGATTGATTGCAAAATAAGGTTAAAGCTAAAAATGTCGAGCAAAAAATTAAAAGTTACGTGGGTGGGATTGGAATGTTACGGCATTGACAATTTGTTGCTGGCCAACCGATAGTATAGTCACTACTATTTGGTTAGTGGTATAGTATAGTACTTGTGTACAATAATTTGACATACTTAATTTTAAAATTACACTTTTACCAGCTGCTAGTTGTCTTAACATACTTTTATTTCATTGTTTCGAAAATAAGGTTCAAACTAGAAAGGTCAAAAAAGTAAAAGCTTGTTTATACCTCTTATTTTAGTGTTGTGAAATGTTCCGTCTAACCGTTTCTGGTAACTGTTAGGGAAGCTTAATGTTAAGTGTCCAATGTTAAATTTAGCGCAAAAATGTAAACTCTTCCTTGGCCAAAACCAATAATTTCGTGAGACCAACAAAAGTTGAACCTTTATGGCCCTTCGCTTTCACTACGACATCGCTTTATTTTGTAGATAACTTTTGAAATCATGAGTGTTAAGTACAACAGGCGGGCTGAGAGTGTTTCATATTTGAGGCATACATAGATACAGATACTTAGGGATACAGCAAACTAAAATCTAGAGTTTGTAATTGGTATATACAGTCCAGGGTGACCATTTCATTCGGTGCTTTGCTTTTGCTTTGCTTTGCTCTGTTCAAAAGTCATCTGAGTAGAGTGCGGTGGCAATCGATCCTAGAAACGCGATTAGGGGCCTCTTGTGGCCTTGTGGATTTAGGGCTTGGCGGGTATGTCCTTCAGCGGGGTCTTCTCATCCTTGGCTTCCGGATCCTTGGGGGAGCCCGACTTGTTCCACGACTGTTCACTGCCAGAACCAAAGATGACAAAGACAAGGAACTCCAAGGCAAAGAGCACAATTGTGACACCAAAGATGATGCGCCAGGCATTAATGTTTTGCTGTAATAAAGGGGAAATGTGAGTAAATTATGCAGAAGAAATCAGAGATCTTCCACTTACATTTCCATGTGTGACAAAGCCCACGAACAGCGGCACAATAATGCCCGGCAGTGTAGCCGCCGTGTTGGTTAATGCCACCAGAGTGCCAGCAAAGTTGGGCGCAATGTCAATGTGATTGGAGAGGAAGCCAGAGAACATGGCGCCCATGGCCACAATGCCCACAGACATAACGGTAACAGCCTCATAGTGATGGCAGCCAATGTAGCAGAGAATCAGCAGACAAATGCCCGGAACAATGGTGCAAATGGAAGTGGCCGTCTTGCGAGCAAACGTGGTGCTAATTTTGCCTGCAAAATTGCGAGTTTAAGAAGAGATTCATGAAATTGAAGACTAAGTATTCACCCTTTGACTGCAGCGTATCCAGCAGCTTGCCCAGCACAATACTAAAGATAATCATGGGGAAGTAGGGCAGAGCGCTGAGTGCCGCATTGCTGGCCACATTGAACTTGAGCACCTGCTTCATGTAGAAGGGAATCTCGATGAGGAACATGTACCAGCCGAAATTGTTGCACGTGTGAGCAATGAGAATGGCCCAGAAGGGAATCGACTTGAAGACCTTGCCCCAGGGCACAGCGGGATGATGTTCGACCTTCTGTTCGGTGCCCAGTGAACTGGTAATCATTTGACGCTCCTCCACGCTGATGAAGCGCTGCTTGTTGGGGTTATCCTGCACGAGGACAGTCCAGAGCAGCATCCAGATGCAGCTGAGCAAGCCCATCACATAGAAGACAGACTCCCAGCCCCACTGGGCGGACAGCATGCCGGCGAGTAGGATGGACAGCGCTGTGCCCGCCGATGTGCCCACATAGATGATGGTGGACATGACCATGCGCTCGCTGGGTGGTGCCCAAGAGGCAATCATCACATGCATAGCCGGGAAGGAGGCGCCACCGCCAATGCCCTCCAGCACGCGCATCAGAATGAGGCCGCCATAATGCATTTGCGTGAAGACAGGCGTCAGCAGGGTGCACACCACATTGATGGCCACCGAGAAGAGCATCACCCACTTGGCCGAGAAGTTCTCCGCCACATGAGCCAGCGGAATCTGCGACACGAGATAGCCCCAGAAGTAGCAGGAGAGCAAAGTGCCCTGCAAGGGTTCACTCCATGTAAAGGGTCCATCCTCCACCTTGGCCGTCACATTGGTGGCGCCACCGGGCGGCGAGCAAGTCTCCACTAAGGTCTCCGCCTCCTTGGTGCCATTGAGAAGGGTCACAACTGAGCCATGTCCCAAGTCATTCAGTTCCTTGATGGCCGTGTGATTGACCATCGCAACCATTGCCACACTGAGATTCACTTTGAGGCCATAGACAATGGCCATGCCAATGGAACCGAGCAGCGCTAGAACATAGCGAGCGGGCACGAGTTCTGGAAGGGAGAGAAGAGGTTTTGGATTTGTTAGTAAAAGTGATTATGTATCCCGAAGGTCAATGCCTATCCTGTGGCAGAAAGTGCAGAAATAGCTACTGCTGAGAACTTCCATTGATAAATTACTTAAGTTCAGAAATGCTCTATTCGAAAACCTATCTTATTCCGACCATCAATTGGAAGTACCTTTGGGTAGCTTGGAGTTTCATTTGCAGCTTTTTGGTGCCACAAATTCATTTGATTAATGCAATTCCATCGATTGGTTATGTTAACCAATTAAGTGAATTAAGTTCTACGTTTTATTTGCTTGTATTTCGCAGGTTTAAAGTTGATTTGTTCAGCGTGCACTCCGTCTGCATTCAAATCAAATCATTTCCAGCCCCAACCACGCACAAGAATTTCGTTTACAAATATAGATATGACAGCAGCAATCACCTGGCCACCACTCGAGTCAGTCAGACACGAGTTCTTCTAATAGCCCGTCGCCCTGCCCTGATTACTGACAGTTGGGTAGGGTCAGTGTGTATGCCGAGGGGTGCCACGCGCATTGATATAGCAAATAATCCTGCCGGTGGAACGATGTCTGGCAGATAACAAAAATTGTATAAATTTGCGGTCGTTCATTTTCAATTTCACTTTCATGGCTCTCCTTCGAGCTGGCAGCACGATTATTATTTATGTTTGCTAATTGTTTGCCCTGCTATTGACATTGTGGGTGCCATAAGTTACGGAAATACACTCACTTTTGTGTGCAATAAATATTTGTTTCCCTACTTATTAGGATTTTTCATGGGTAGAGCATTTATAGTTCGTTTTAGTTTCATTTTTTGCCTGCTAAATCTTTGTTTGCTTGGGTTATAACTTATTAATTGTTCAGCGATTCGCTCCCTGCTGGTGCTATATTTATTTATCAGTCTCGTTGGGGTTGGGTCTATTGTGGATATAGGTTCAAGTGCTGCTGGGGTTGTCTGGAGGGGCTTACAATCCATTCAACTGTCTAGAAAATCTTGCTAAAAATGTGATCATTTCTTAGGTAACTTCAAAAAAATGCACAAGAACTATTTTCGAATATTTATGGGGATTATTAGTTGATAATCAGCCCATAATTGTTGTTGTATTTTTTATATAGCTCTAAAATTCGATTAGATTCTGTTTATCATCAGGTCTGGTGGCTGGTGGCTGGTGGGCAAAAAGGCGTAAAATTCTGCATTGTTTGTTTTGGGGTTAAACATTATTGTTTGCATATTCAAAACGCTTGGCTAACTTTGATGAATGTTTGCAGGCATCAAACACATTGTTGGGATAGGCAGTACATACATACATACATACTCGTACATATTTACATACATACATTCATAAATATGTAGTGAAAAGTCATAAATGTGGCGACAGTTTGTCTTCAAAGTTTCTGCTGCGGGAAATACCAGGCAAAAAATGTTTATTTAAGTATTAAGATATATTTGTACTATATCTGCCAGTATATCTTTGACTTCCATGTGACCTTGCCCGGGACAGTAGGCGGAGAAGAGAAGACCCCGAGAGCCTGGGCATAAAAACGCCAAAAACAAATCAAATATGCCAGGAGGGTCTGGAGGTCTGGAGGTGGCATCTAAAAAAAGCCGGGACCGAACTGAACATTAAGGATATCACAAGCAAGCACACACACCCTCACATATACACATAAAGGAAGTGTATATACGACCCGGACTCACGCACACACCGAACGACCTTTCAGCCGGCTTTAAGGTCAAACGTTTTGTATCGTTCTTGGCCCTGCCTCTGGCCTTGCATTTCGCACATTTTGCCAACATTTGCGGCACTCGCACACTGACACTTGTTGCACTTGCACTTTGCCTCGAAATGGATGCAACCAGATGGAGTCTCCTGTCCCCGACTGTGTACACACCCACAAAACGTGGCTGTATGACACTTTCTGCCCCATAATCCGTATGACACTTACTGCCCAATATGCTGCCTTTGGCAGGCACTTCCTCCGTCATTTTGCTGTGTGTTTTGGTTTTGGGCTGCAGCAGCTGGCGAGCCGAATAAATGTGATTTGTTTATGCAAACAAATGGAAATAGACTTTATCGTGTGGGGGAGGCAGCAGCTCCTAATAGCTCCGGCAAACACCAAAATCGAAATTCGAACTGAAATACACTCGCGGGTCACGTTGCGTTCCCTGAAACAGTTGCTCTACAACTGAGGCGGCAAGCTGGAATACTCTTAGCTTTTTGTGCGTCGTCGTCGTCCCCCAATATTTAACGTTTTCGTTTTGATGAACAGAACCGGCCTGACGCGCTTTAGCTATACATACATATGTATGGGTGTTTGTGTGTTTGCTCTGCGTTTGAATTGCGTTTGCTTTTCTTTGGTGGTGGTTCGTTCTCCGTTTTTCTTTGGGATCTTCTGCTCTCGTTTACTGTACTGGAGAGTGGCGGCAGGCAGCCTGTCGGCTGGCACGTTGCCTCCTCTGCCTGAAGGGTTCGGTTGGAACTTGTTCGGCTGTCGCTCGTGCGGTTCGGGCTCTCACTGACGCTGAAAGTTTATGTCGTCATGTTTGGAATATCTCTTGAACATTCCACCGTTATGCTTCTGGCTGCGCCACGGATTTCGTTTGGCTTACATTCGATTGCATCGACGCGTCGCAATGCTGAATACCGTTGGGGTCGAGTCGTCGTCATGCTTTTTGTCAGCACCACACACCTTCCCCTCTTGCATGTCAATGGAGCGAGCGCAGCGCGTTTGTATCGGAAATGCATCATGAATGGGTGAACATTAGCTGTGCGTTTTTACACAACGGATTGACGTTATTTAGGGTAAAGGTAAGAGCTACTAATAAAGCAGTTTCCATGAATGAAATAATGGAAATTCAATAAGAAACTTAAACTAAATAAGACATCAAACGACATCGATTCGATTTTCAGTGCATGTGAACCCATGCACAATCTATTTGTTATATAAATATCTTCAGTCAATTCAATTACCCTGGCTCTGCTCAATTCAAAACCAAACAACAAAATACACATCTAAGTGTGTGTGTTTTGTTTTGTACACACACAAAAATCCAATATTAAAAATGCAAAACGCGTGCATAAAATTAGTATAAACTTCCCAAACCGAAGTAGACCCAATAGCCCATCAAACCAAACCGAAAAACTCAACTCAAAAGTAGCAAAAATATTTGTATTTGTCTCTTTTTATAATGCCATTTTTAAATCAGTTGTTTTTCGGTCTTGTGCTACGACAGTTTATTAGTAGAAACTAATTCATATTTGGGCAGTTAATTAACGCTAATCTAACAAATTTTCCAATGCAACAGTCTCATGATATCAGGTGTGAAATGGAGCAACCCGTGAGGGGAATTCTGAATTGCTAGCACAAATCGCTTCCCCATTACAAAGTGAATGAAAATATAACTCAGAGAGAGAGAGAAAGAGTCGGTGTAAAGTGGACAATAAATTGTTTAAATTTATTGTTATTGTGCTTTAAAGAGTATTTTTAAGTTTTTATATGTTTATGGATGGCAAAGAATTGTCTTAATGTTGAGTTTCCTTGAACTAAAGAACATTTGCTTGAACATGAACATTTGCAGTGCATATTTTTGATCTGATAAACAAAGTTCCTGGACCACTAATCAGCTAAACAAATAAACCAAAGTTGTGTCTTTGCTTCAAAATTTCGAATTTTAAACATTCTTAAAGCAACTTTTTGGTTTTACATTGACTGTTTACCATTCATTTCTGGTCACTGCTCGTTTGTTTATATAAAATGCAAATTCTCCATTGCTCCATATTGCCTGCCAGTGTTTTCATCCACAACTTCAGGCTTGAATTCCTCCCCCCTGCAGTCGTTATCCGCACACCCCCATATTTCCATATTAATGGCCGCTTTTTCTACTTTTTGTTTTGGTGCTTGTTCGTTCCCTGTTATTTGCTTTGCATTTATTTTGTAGTGCTGTTTCCTTGGCCATATGGCAAATTGGGGGCACAACCGCGGACGTTGAGTGTATGCAACATTTTGGCACTTCCGATTAGATACGATATTCGAACGCAAGGAAAAGCGTGTTTGACATATGTTGGTGTTATTTTTTGGATGGAATAAGCTTAGAGAATAGATAAAGTAGAGGCTAAAACTCCTTCTGTGCGAGTGAGATAAAGTTTAAAGGAATTGAGTGTAGGATTTAAATGAAGGATTTTATTATAGTTTGAATTTGTTGAAGGCTTTCAATTGAGTAATTATATTAGCATTGTTTTCCCGTTGCCAGAGATTCTCTTCCTTATGGGATTCTGGTAAATATATTCTAGTACTTATTACCATTCCCATCCCCATTCACATTTCCATTTTTAGGCAGTCATAGTCGAACGATCCTCTACTCATTTATAGATGCAATTGTTGCCATGCATTCATATCTCTCATCTGCAAAATTGAGAGCTCCCCTTGTTGCATTTTCTTTGTTTTATTCTGAATATTTATTTGCCCAACAGTAACACGTATTGTCCATGGCTGACAAGGGCCTTGTTTGCTGGCTGTTTGCGTAAAGTTGGACCTCCACAATGCATTTCATGGCTGCCTGGTTTGCTTTGCTACATAAAAGATAAACCATATACAAAATGTTCTACAGGCTAGAGCGAAGCAGAGGAATTTGTTTTGAAGTTGGGTTGGGCTGGGGTGTTCGAATGGTGATACCCTCACAGAATTTTCGGTTGATGTCAACGCGTGTGCGTCGTCCAATTGGTTTTTATTTAATTTTTGCACACACTTCGATGGATAGACTGTCCACCACCACATTTCCCACTCCCCTTGCATCTTCCACTTGATTTGTTTAGTTGTTAATTGGCTTTCATTGAATTGTCTTCCAATGTTCAATTATATAATATTTCTTTTTTGGCTCCTCTTTTGTCTTCGATTCGGTTGACAACAGCACCCAAAAAAAGAGAAGAAAAATAAGAAAAAATATAAAAGAAAATTGATACTTTATGACTTTTTTATTGGGCTGCTGTTTTGCGGCGCCATTTGTGGCAGCATCTGAAGAAGCAATTCAAGTGTCGCCCTCCCTTTTAATTCTCCTGCTTTTTTTTCTATTAATTGTAACTGATGCCTGCTGTAGGGCCCCAACATTGACACATTTCTATGCTAGAAAATGGGTTCACTGATTGTACAGATTCTTCATTGAATCAATGGCATGTGAAAAATGTTTTGGGTAAAGGGAATTTTCAATCAATGAATTGATTTATGGGTCGTTGGCCTCTGCGAAGCATTGAAAATGTGAATTTTAGCAGCGCACTGTTATGGTAACGGAGCAAAAGGTGGAGCTGTTACAGTAACATGGCTGCAGGTATGGATGTTAACAGAACAGAGCTGCAGGCAGAGCTGTTGGCAGAGCAGTGCTGCAGGTACAGCTGTTAACAGAGCAGAGCTACAGGTACAGCTAGCTGTAAGAGAGAGAGAGAGAGAGCTTGTCTACCGCTGCTACCATTACAGCACTGCAGGCCACGAAAATAGTTACATTAACGCAAAAATAGAAAATGTTATGCACAAGATATTTATGTAGCTTGAAACAGAAAATAGTTCATCGTTTACTCAAATCTCTGCACTTTAGTTGCTAGTTTTTATTTTCCTGATGTTATAATTAAATTGGTGTGAATATTTGCTGTCCACAATGAAATATATCTATGAATACGTAAGTGAAATCAAGTATATAATGGCTATGGTATAAAATTAACACCTTGGTTGTCCAGGATTTTGATACAAATGTTCAAGTTTTTTCTGGTTTCTTTGGCTGCTGAATTGCCTGAGAAACAGACTTGGAGAGATTCGAAAATAAAAATAAAATAAAATAAAATATTAATTGAATGGGGAGTGAATATTATTTGATAACGGATCTATTAGAATACAGAGAATACAGAGAAAAACTCTACAAGAATTATTTACCTTTCTCTGCCATAACAATAAATTGTTTTCTTAATCTGTTTAAAAAACTCAGCACGAATACTCATATTCCCATTTCTCTTCCAAATATTCGCTCCAGCCATTAATTTTCATGGATTATTCAAACCAAGGACATATTTTATTTAATCATAAATCAGTTGCTTTCATAAAATAAATATATGTATACATTTCCTTGTTGCAAATGAAGCTCGCAATAATGAACTTAGGGCGTAAATGAATTGGCCAAAAATACATATTCAAGAGGGACCCAAAAAGAGTTAAGGAAAAGTAAATATATTTATATATATATATATGTAAATGTCAAAATATGTTATAGTTACTTGAGTGTTCATATTTTAGTTGTATATATATATATTTAATAATAATAATATTTTATTGTATTTTATACACACACACATATACGCTAGTAATGCATTTTAAATACTCTTCCGATATATGTATGCTTTTTGTTTTTGTTTGTTTGTTGGTTTTTGTAGGTATATATAATAGTAGTTATGTTATGTATTGTATGTTTATCATATTCCATAGTACATATGTATGTATATTTGATTAATTACCCAAAAAACAGTCAGACAATTTTCATTTTCAAATTAAATGTACGCATCCATCATCGGCATATTATCTCCTCTCCAATCGACATAGAATATTTTGTAAATACTTTATGCCCTGAGCCACTTGTTTAATTTTGATACAGTTATAGCATATAATATACATATAGTATCTTCTGTTTAAATATATTTCTATAATTGTTTTAAAATCTTTAGCGATCATTTTATGTTCTCGAGTCGGCATCGGCGCTGTCACTGTATAAAAGTTCTGCTGTTGTAGCACAGTGTAATTAGTTTCAAGTGTAGTGCAGTGCAAAGGGCGCTTTGTCTACCAAAAAATGTATTCAATTGTCATATCTGAGCTCGATTCAAGTTGATCATCTGTCGATCTGTTATCGATATATTTTTGGAGCATTCCTTACGTTCTCCTCTCCTCTCGGAATTTTTGTACTAGTCCGGGAAGCCTCTAGTTGGTTAAGTATTACACACACGTACATACTGATAGTTTTCGGTTTCGCTTTAAGTTTTCTTGCCATAGACATCGACATGGATTACGAGTGTGTGGCGGGGGATTAAAGTTACTTTAAGGTTTTTCTTGGGTTTAGCTTTAAGTGAAGACAAAATCGTGAGACCCTGTGTCCAGCGTTCTTCTATAAAAAACATTTGCTTTGATTATGTTTTGTGGGTTGTCTTAATATTTGTTTAAAATTGAAATTCTACA